AGAGCTGGCGTTGTGGGGGAGTGTTGGCAGAGAGTTGTTGCTGTGCCGAGGTGTTGGCAGAGAGTTGTTGCTGTGGAAGAGAGTTGGCAGAGAGCTGGCGTTGTGGGGGAGTGCTGGCAGAGAGTTGTGGCTGTGGGGGAGTGTTGGTACTGCTGGCTAATGAAAGCTGGCGTTGAAGAGGAGCGTTGGCTGTTGAGAGCTGTTGCTGTGGAACAGAGTTGGTAGTGCTGGCTGATGAAAGCTGGCGTTGTAGAGGAGTGCTGGCTGATGAGGGTTCTTTCTGTATACAAGAGTCGTTTGAACTTTGTAATATCAAATAATCGGTAAGGAGAGTGTCATCTCTGTGTTTCAAAATGGATGAACACTCGTAGAGTCGATTATTATATTTAATGTAGAAAGTAGTAAACTCTTGAAGTTTGTATGTATGATGTAAGTACTCTTCAATAGTAATTAGTCTATTACATAAGAGAGCTTTGTAAAATGTTATCTTGTTAATTGATGAACGAATAGTGTTGTTGACTAATGGAACATTTGTGAGAACAATGGCTAACGGTGTGCGCCTTTGAATCTGTGCTAGAGCTGTTTCAAGCCAAGCTGAATCAACTAAGATGTACAAATTCATTTTAAACAAATTTGAAATGAAATAATTTGTGAGAATTTGAGAATAATTTAATTATTTCAGAAGTCTATATTGAAAAAATATTCTTAACAAAATTAATTTAAATGGTTCAGAAAATAAAAAATTAAAATTAATGGAAAAAACATGATTAGGAATAATTAACAATAATAAATATCATGGTTTTGGATTATTTAAACAGCTATAAAAGAACGAATTTTACAAATTACGATAAAAAAATTATTGAAAAATAATGAAGATGATAAGGATTTGAATCGAAAATTAAAAGGATGATTATGTGTCAAATTAAATTAAAATAAAAAATTTAGAAGATTTAGACAAGAAATAGTGCAAAGAATTAGAATTAACATAAAAATCGAAAATTTAATAAAGGAGAGATAAAATTATTGTAGTATTCAATTGAAAAATTTTATAAAATAAGGAATATTGGTAAACAAATAAGTTTCATCTAAAAAAAGGAAAATAAAAATATAAAAATTGAAATAAAAATGTTATAGACCGAAAATAGATTTTTTCGGTTTTCTCTTCAAATAATTGAAAGAATGATACTATTATAGGTTTATTATATTATATAGCATATAATCATGCTATAGCCGAAAATTATAAGTTTTGAGAAGATTGAATATAACACAAATAAATTTGAATGTAAGTTAAATTGCTTGTTGTTTTTAATAGCTATTTAATGAGAAATCCAATATTGCAAAATTCAAATTGAATGATTGAAAGAACAGAAAAAGTCATTCTTTTCAATTTCGAATATGTTTCATTGTATTTATAATTATATGGCAAATAAGATATTTAAACTTGATTTTTGAAGGAAAATTCACAAAATTGAATAAATTCAAATAATTTTTATTCAAAAATAAACTAGTTATTTGAGTTTAATACTAATTATCTATTCAAACTACAAAGTTTGTAATTTAAAATATTTTGTGAGATCAGATTGAATTAATTCAAGGTTCTTTTCAATTAATATTAATGACCATATTACGCATTTTCGAACATTCTAAACCAAATATATAAAAATGGGAGACGAATGTTAAATTTGCTAGACATGGGGGAGTTGTCTGCAAAGTTTTAGCTCTTATCTCTAACAAAAAATTAATTTTTAAAAAATGACCGAATACGTTTCACAGCGAGAAAAAAATAAAAGGCAAGATAGAATTTTCTAGACATAAAGAAGTTGTTTACCGAGTTTTAGCTCTTATCTCTAACAAAAAATTAATTTTAAAAAAATGACCGAATACGTTTCACAGCGAGAAAAAAATAAAACTGTACACTGATTTTCATTTTCATTTCCAGTCACTTTACTTATTATTTTTTCTTTTTTTCATTTTAATTATAAATTATTTCATAATACGTTTATTTACCTTACCATTTTCTTTATTCTTTTGAATTCCATACTAGACACTTATAGAATATTTTGATTGTTAACGTACTTCATTAGAATGAATCCTTACAAAGGGTATGTCGATCGAATTTACCTAATTGGTATTTCCAATCAGATTGAAGAAGGTAAAATGACATGGGAAGAAGCTTGCACCCATGTTCCCATCGCCCCAACCCTTCAATCAAATGATTTCAAATATTTAGATGTTTCAAAATCTTTTTTACAAAATCAATTTAGCTTACAGAATATCCCATTGCCTAAAGGCAAGAAAGGTCGTAGGGTCAATCCCTATGACCAAATCAAAGCTCTTGCTGTGATACATGACCACTGGGCCTTTCCCTGTGGTCAAACAAAACAATGGAAACGTTTGAAATTACACCAAATTGATGTATCTTATAGAGAAGTACGCAGATACTTCAAAGAAAATCATTTCACCAAGACGCGATTAGAGCATGCCGGGCCAGAAACAGCAGTAAGATATTAGGCGCTTTCACCCAATCTTATCTGGCACGCAGATGTTCATTATTTTAGGGGTGTTCGTGGCCAGTATATTTATGGCATAATCGACGATTTTAGCCGCAAAGTCCTAGCGTGTATACAAATACCAGATATGCTGGCAGCGACGACAGCGAACGTTGCGGCTTCCGCCTTCATTGAATTTGGCGCCCCTTATTGTTTCTGGACCGACAACGGTTCAGAAAATAGGGGCGCCTTTCAAGATCTACTTGATCTTTGGGGCATCCAATGGCGGCATACAGACTCTCATTCTCCCTACCAAAATGGGAAGATTGAGAGATTCTGGCCGACATTGGAGCGCTGCCAAAGCATTCAGGCTATTCCTGCCTTTATTTGGGAGTACAATAATAACACACCGCATGAAGATCTCCCAATTAATCCATTAACTGGAACAAATTACACGCCAAATCAAATGTATCAGCTGAAACCGAAATACACAAATGCAGATACAGAAAGGTTGTGGCAAATATGGGATACAGATACAGGCATGACCGCTGTTGACACATTCACAGCGTAATAATAAACATAATTTTTTAATTTCATTTTTAACAAGTTTTTTTAAATGTATGTAATGAATAATTCATTAGAATATGATAATGCACATTGTAACAGAATAGAACAATCACCAAATTTTTTTGAAATTAAAAAATAAAAGTAAAAAGTATAAAGTAATGTAACCAAAAAGATATTTAAAAGAAATTTGGAAAAAACAGAATAAGGATAATGATATTATTTTAGATACACAATCGATGTACTGAAGAATAATCCGGTAAAATGATGATATAAAATTAGATTATTTTACAAGTAGCTAAAAGAATAAAACTATGAGAGAGGGTCAAAGTTGCTATTTGTCACTTTTCCACAAGAATATAATGGGGAAAAAGTTATCATATAGTTGATCTCATTCACTGAGGTGAGAGATGCATGTAGTGTAATTTGATAAACAGTGGGATTGCTGCTCTAAGTCCTAGGTTCGAGACACATTAGCTTCATTTTTCTCTTTTTTATTGACGTAAACTATTCGATTTTTGTGTTCTCCATTCAAATTTCAGAATTTTTTTTGCAGATTTCACGCTACATTCGAAGTTACCTTTTGTAACAACCACCACTGCCTACGAAAGACGAAAGTGTGTCACGATTTCACCCGGAAATCCGACGGTTGTTTAAGAGTAAGCACTTTTGGCACCTACTCATAAAACTATAATATAAAATAAATGAAGTTTAATGAAACAATAAAGGTTAAATAAATAATAAAGATTTTTATTTTATATCAGTATTGAGAAGAAGTAACAGCTGACACTTGGTAGACAACTTCTTTATGTCTAGAAAATTCTATCTTGCCTTTTATTTTTTTCTCGCTGTGAAATGTATTCGGTCATTTTTTTAAAAATTAATTTTTTGTTAGAGATAAGAGCTAAAACTTTGCAGACAACTCCCCCATGTCTAGCAAATTTAACATTCGTCTCCCATTTTTATATATTTGGTTTAGAATGTTCGAAAATGCGTAATATGGTCATTAATATTAATTGAAAAGAACCTTGAATTAATTCAATCTGATCTCACAAAATATTTTAAATTACAAACTTTGTAGTTTGAATAGATAATTAGTATTAAACTCAAATAACTAGTTTATTTTTGAATAAAAATTATTTGAATTTATTCAATTTTGTGAATTTTCCTTCAAAAATCAAGTTTAAATATCTTATTTGCCATATAATTATAAATACAATGAAACATATTCGAAATTGAAAAGAATGACTTTTTCTGTTCTTTCAATCATTCAATTTGAATTTTGCAATATTGGATTTCTCATTAAATAGCTATTAAAAACAACAAGCAATTTAACTTACATTCAAATTTATTTGTGTTATATTCAATCTTCTCAAAACTTATAATTTTCGGCTATAGCATGATTATATGCTATATAATATAATAAACCTATAATAGTATCATTCTTTCAATTATTTGAAGAGAAAACCGAAAAAATCTATTTTCGGTCTATAACAAAATTGAAATAAAAAAGAAATATAAAATATTTTTAAAATGCAAAAAAGTTTCATACTAATCGTTTTTGTATAATATTTATCATTGAAAGATTATTGAAAGTTATTTTGAAAGAAATCGAATGAGTTAAGAAATATTGAGAAGAAGGACAATTGAATGAATTTTTGGCCGATTGTGCTATGCAAAGTTGATGATAATTGCAGGAAATTTTGAGATTTTCGAGGTTTTGGAGGGTGTGAGTACTATTATATGTAATAGTATCTCACACCCTCCAATTCATCCTATGGCGTCGAGAAAATTTTGGTGAAATGTCGTCGCATTTCACCAAAATTTCTCGGCGCCATATAGAGAACTAGAGTCTGCGAGGTACTGATTCTATCTATGTACCTCGCAGACCCTAGTTCTCAGCCAAAACGGCTAAAAATTGCCCGCAAATATTTGCCATGTAAACTGTCACTTTTTGAGGAGATTTGACAGAATGTCAAATCTCCTTTTTTCGTATATAAGAATTTTTGTGTTTTCAAATGCATAATCACGAATACTTGTTACACTACTTGGAAGTTTAACTTGAGTAAGACTAATACAGTCCCTAAACATATATTTAGGAATAGTATCAAGATTTGTAATTGATGACATATCAACGGTTTTCAAATTTTTGCATCCAAAGAAATAAAAGCCACCGGATTCCCAATATCCAAGTGTTAACTCTTCAATTCCTGTCCAAGCAAAAGTATTTACTGGAGAATAACCATCAAATGTGTATTTACCTTCTGTAATTGACGAGATCTTAAAATTCCAGCAATTCCTGAACAATCTACCATACAAAGTATATGGAGTAGTGTGTTCCCCATCATCATTAAATCCAATAATTGTTTTCAGTTTGTAGCAATTCAAGAAATCTTCATCATTGAATTCATGAACACCTGACAAATCAATTGTCTCGAGAGAAACACATGATGCAAAAGGCATATATTGGATTAAGCTTGTAATCAAATTACTGTTTTCTACTGTTGTTAGTTTAACACATTTTTGGAAACTAGCAGATAGTTCACCATTAATACTTGCAGGAAAAACAACTTTTTGCATTGAAAATTGATTTGTTATAGAGACTGAATATATATTAGGATTCGTGAAAATAATTGTCTCTAAACTTGGCTGATTTGTTTGAATTTGAAACATATCGCCTGTAAATGTTAATTCGGTAAGTGATGGCATAAAAAACTTTTCTCCAATATTTGAAAAAGTGATTGTTGAAATTCCAGTCATATCAAGTTCTCTATCAACAGCTATGCTATCTGGAAGTGTGATAGTGGTTAATTGTTCACATTTGTAGAAGGAATATGTTAATGATTCAATGGAGTTGACGTTTGCTTCTGTTAATCCTGATTCTGTAAATGCATAAATGCCAATTTGTCTAGCTTTTGAAAGATCAATCGTTTGAAGCTCAGAACACTTATAAAATGCATATGGACTAATTGAAGCGATATTAGAGCCTGTTATTGAAATAATTGTTGAATTGGCAAAGGCATATGAACCAATACTTGTTTCTGCGTCATTAAGTATCATATTCTTTATAGATTGGGAATCTTTGAAGCAAGAATCTGGAATATTGACTATTGAAGATTGCGAAATATCAAAATTTTCAATAAATTTAAGGGCTGAAAGGAAAAAATTATTGATGAAAATATTGAAAAAATTACCATTGCTGATGGCGCTCCTGTACAAGCCTATAGTGGATTTAATTATGTAAAAGAATTGTTGATCGAAACAAGTTCTATTACCAAGATTCCAGATAAAATGTTTTATGGTAATAATATTATACAAACAGTAACTCTTCCAGCTAGTGTTGATACAATCGGACAATACGCATTTGCATTTTCATCTATACAAACCATAAATCTTGGTTCCGTCACAAAGATTGAGGAAAATGCCTTCGAAAACTGTCAACAGTTATCAATTAACTCTTTCCATAATGATTTATCAATGGCTGCCTACGCATTTTCAGGATCCGGAATAAGTTCAATTATTATCAAAGATTGTCCTAAATTTTTATGTTGCAAATGCTTAAAACTATCTGAAGTTACAATTTTATCAACTTGTACATCAATTGATGAACACGCCTTTGCATATTGTTCTCAATTAACACAAATTCATTTTGATCAAGATATAAGTTCTTTATTCATTTTTGCATATTCATTTTATGCATCAGGATCATTTAGTGTTTCTCTTCCTAATGCACAATCTATTTATGTATATGATAATGCTTTTGCTTTGTCAAAAATCCAAAAATTTGAAGTGAAATGCACTTTTTTATCGTTTCATGGGAAATGTTTTATGCAATGCCCTGAATTAACAACAGTTGTAATAGATTCAAACAGCGTCAGTTCTGATGATTCTGCTATTTTATTATTTGGAAATTGCATGAAACTAAATAGTGTGACAATTAAAAATATGGATAAAGTTGGTCAATCAACATTTTTAAATTGTGTTGGACTTCAAACAGCAAATTTACCTCAAGCAACAATATTTGAAAAGAACTCATTTTTCAATTGTAAATCATTATCAACATTAACAATACTTGAAAGTGATATTCAAGTAAATGAATATGCATTTTCAGGTTGTTCTTTATTAACAAGTTTTCCATTTGAAAATACAAAATCAATTGGAATTGGATCTTTTAGTTTTTGTTCTTCACTTGTTGTTGGTGAATCTGTTCCATTGTTTGGTGCAATGTCATCTTTTGCGAACTGTAATTCATTAACACAAATAACTGTTACATCAAAAGATAATTTTCCAATTTACATGTTTGAGAATTGTGTCGGATTAACTAAAGTTACATTTACTGATGAGAATACTAATGTATTTGGATTTATGTTTGCAGGATGCACATCTCTTGAAGAAGTAGATCTTAATAAAGTTACAGCTATTGATAATTTTGCTTTTCAAAATACAAAATTAACAAATTTAGATCTTAAAACTGTGAAAACAATTGGATTGAAATCATTCCTTAATTGCGGTATTCAAAAAATAACTATTCGAACTGATATAACTCAAATTGATCAAACATCATTCCAAGGTTGCTCACAACTATCACAAATCATCATTGAAGATGGTGTTACGAAGTTTGACATGTTTGGATTCGAAGATTCTTCTCCAGTGACATTTACGATTAACAACCAAAATTTCAATTACAATGATAACATATTAATGCAAGGAACAAATACAATTTTATATTATGGAAAAGATGATATTAAATACACAGTTCCTGCTGAAATAGAAAAGATAGGAAAATGTGCTTTTTGTCATAGTAAAATAACTGAAATTACTTGTGATAAAGAAATTACTTTTCCATATGGATTTTCCGGATTAAAAACACTTGTAACTGTAACAGTTACAGGAGTTAATACTATTCCAGATTATGCATTTTATAACTGCATTAATTTGGAAACAATAGAGTTCCCTTCAACAACAAAAAACATTGGTAATTATGCATTTTGTAACTGCAAGAAACTAGAAAATATAAATTTGGAAACTGCTGGAGATATCGGAGAACATTCATTCGAAAATTGTTCATCTCTTACTAGTATAAAATGCGAAAGTTCAACAATTATGGCATATGCATTTTATAATTGTAAATCACTTAAGAATGTTGAATTTAAATCACAATATATTAATCTTGGTATGTATTCTTTCTCAAGAACAGGAATTGAAAACATTACTCTTCCAAGTGGTCAATTTGAAGACGGAGTTTTTTCTTATGCTGAGAAACTTCAATTCTTAAATTATTCAGGTACAGATAGTTTAAATATTCCATCTTATATGTTTGAACATACATCATTAGTCGGCATTTATCTAAAAATAACTAGAATAGGTAAGTTTTCTTTCTCGTTCATTAAAAGTTTAAGATTATTTGTAATTATAGATGAATGTGAAGTTATTGATCCAGAATCATTTTATGGATCTGAAAATGTTCAATTTAGATTCACTTCATGTATTCATCCAAAATTTTTATTAGGAAATCATGAATTAGTTGATAAAGATACATGAGAACTCATATTTACTTATGGAAAACTCCCTTCAACATATATTGTTCCTAATTATGTTTCTACAATTAATTATAATAGGATTCAATCAATTCCAAAATACTCAGCAGATGGAAAAGTTGTAGACTACGGTGTAACTACATTAGTAATTCCTAATATGATAAATTATGATTACGAAATGGTTGATGATGTTATATATCTTCCTTATCTTCATAATGTTTGTTATGGACCTACACATCAAGTTTCTGGCTTTAAATTTGGATCTGCACAAAACTTTTATGTTTCGTCCATTTTTGCTCAACCATTTTGGTATTATACAGATGGAGACATGGTTCGTGGAATGGCTCCCGTAATTAGAGATGATTGTGATTCATCAGTTTCATTTAAGAACTATGCAAATGATTATTATTATTCCCCACCAGAGAAAAAATATAAGAATTTGGATAGTATCACTGAGCATCATATTCTTTCTTTTGATTGCGATGAATCACAGATTATTGAGATTCCTCTTCCAGAACCAGATAAACCTGATGATGAAGACGATGATGGAAATGAACCTGAAAAATCACCTTCAACAAATTCATCGGTAAGTAATGTTACAACAACAACAACACCTGGTTTTGAAATAATTACTGATGAACCTGTAAAATCTACATCACTTTTATTTATTGTATTGATTGTTATTGCAGTAATCGAAGTAATATTAATTACTGCTTTAATAATCATTATTATTCTCAAATCTAAAGAAGAGGAAAGTACTACTGATGCAGTCGAACTTGACGAAGAGAATATTGCAGCTGTTAAAGATGATATATTAGTTGAATTAACTACCAATAATACTCTGTTTTGTATGAAATATTCAGATGATCCATTTTCTGCAGATTTTAATGAAAAAACCGATGAATTCGTAGTTTGTGCAGGTAAAGATTTAGAAAAAGTTAATTAGTTGATTATAAATAAATGTTATTTATTTGATTATTTTATAATAAATATATATTTTTCATCTTTGGAAAAAATGCATTATCAGATGGTTGTAATGTACTTCAAGGGGCTCGTAAAAGAAGATATCTTTATCTTGTCAAACACCTTATTCCAAAAATGCGTTTTCCGCACTCAGAACGCGAAATATGCACTACATGAGGAGATAAAGAGATTTCTTATATTTCTATATTTTCAAATTTTTCAATCTTTATCAAAACTCCAAAATAAACTGAGCATTTAAAATTTAGATTTTTATATTTTGTAGTAAATATTGTAAAGTTACGACTGATCAAAAATGGATCAAGGTATTACTCTGAATTTCGAATACATTGCTGCTCATATCAGTGATTATATTGAAAACCAGAACTTTTTTGATATATTTGAGATCGATGATATAGAAAATATCATGAAATATTCACATTTGACGGCAGAACAGTTCAATACTCTTCTCAAACAATCTTCTTTCGCTATTGATTACAAAGAATTATATATTTCTACACGAAATGCAAATGTTGCTATCGTAAACTACTCAGATGTCCTTTCGATCCTTAAGGATGGGGTATCACGGGTACCTGAATAAAAACTTTGTAATTATCTCAACACTGGATAAAGATATAACAACCAAGTTAAGAAGAGATATAAGGGTGTATCCTCTAATATGTTGTGAATGCATTCAATTATTAATATGACATTTATGCATATGCAATGACATCATCTTATGCTACATGGTATTTTTTTGATATGATGCTCCTATATCAACGACTGTGAAATGCAGAAAGTTGATAATATACCTAAATAACTGGTATCTTAATATCTGCAATTTTTCGAAAAACTCGAAGAGAATATAAAAAATTTTAGTAGATTATATAATCTAATTTAAAAAAAATTTATTGTTTATACAAAAAAGTTATAAAATATAAAAGAATAAGATGTTTCTTCAAAGAAGGTGACAATTTTTTATGTTTTAGATGGTTAGCGAAATTATGATTTTATTTATGTGATTTTTTTTTATTTTATCATTCACATACCTTTAATACATTATTTTAAATATTTTATCATTTGGTAATTGGCATGTTATTGCACACTTATTACAAATTTAATTTGAAGTTGCCTAAAAGGATATAAGATTGATTATAGTAACAACACATGTTGTAATCTAGAATTGTACTGCTTTGCCTAGGTTTATAATCCTTTATTTGCTGACTTTTTCCCTTCTAGCAAAGCAAAAAAATGAAATAACTCGATGAATTATAAGTTTCAGAGCTTCAGATTCGGAAGAACGAACAATCTCATAATTTAAAAGAAAGCTCAGGTTTGAGATTTAGAAAAGGATGATTTTCGAAATTTCGCAATCGAGATATCTTTTGTCCATTTCAGATATGATTATAATTGTCACTGTAGAATATATAGAACATAGTATGAACAACATACCTATCCATATAATGTTCCTGCTAAATTCATTTTTGCTGGAGATAACAGCTCAACAAAGTTGAGATTTTGCAAAAATTAGTCATTTTCATTTTTTGGAAAAATGCATAGAAAATAGCATAATGAATAATAGTAAACGAAAAATGATATCAGGATAAAACATTCTACTTTAGAAGTTCTATCAAATGTTGCAGACAGAATTAGAAAATAAAGAATTTTTTGAGGAAATCGAAATTGCATTTTGGCCAATTTTTGTGACCCGGCATTTTCATATTGTGTGAGAAGTACAATATCATATTATCTTTCATACTGCACCAATCAAATGAATCTAGTTTCTTTCACCATAGTGAAACTTTATTTGCAAAAAAATTAAAAAAATGAACATGATATAAGAAATAAGAGATTATCTACATAGATTTACTTACTATAATAACAAGGAATAGATAGTATAAAAGTTAAGAAAGAACTATATATAAATACACTTGTTTGGATATCATAAATGCTTCCAATATTAATTTTGTCTCATGTAACTTTGGTCATGCGAGTGAGACACCATCCTTAAATCTGTCAAGCGATATATATGAAATTCAGTTTATTTGATGGTATAATTAATTTTTTAAATCAAAATGAGAAAGAATTCCTTGATTCTACAGATGAATTAACAGAAGAACAACCTGAAGAACCAATGTATTTTCAGACTCAAAGAGAAAATGCAGAAAAAGAAACAACAGTGGCCCAAAGTTGTAACAATCATACTGATACCAAAGATAATTTAATCGAAATCTCTCAAAAGCATACTGATCCTAAAGAAATTTTAATCAAAATCTCTCAACTTAAGAATTCTAGTGATTTTGAAAGCGTTTACAATTTCCTTAATGAACTTTCTGCGGAAGAGAATCATGCAATGATTGCAAAGACTTGTACAGAAGGGCTTTGGAAAAAGACACAATCAGTTGGTCGTAACGTACTTCATGAGGCATGTAAACGAGGAAATCTTAATCTTGTTAAGCATCTCATTAAATGCAACTGTGATAAAGAAGTAATGGATAATTATGGAGTTACTCCACTTATTTATGCATCAGAAGGTGGCCATATTGAAGTTGTTAAATGTCTTACTTTTGGTGGGGCTAAAATAGAAGCAAAGGATAAATCTGGATCTACTCCACTTATTTATGCATCAGGAAATAGTCATCTTGAAGTTGTTAAATATCTTATCTCGGCTGGAGCTAACAAAGAAGGAAAAGATAAAAGCGGAAGGACTCCACTCATTTTTGCATCATTCAAAGGTCACCTTGAAGTTGTTAAATATCTTATCTCTGTTGGAGCTAACAAAGAAGCAAAGGATAAAAATGGGAAAACAGCTTTCACGCTTGCAAAAAGTAATGTAAAAGATTATCTGATGTCCATTCAGGTCAAATAATCTATTCAATTTAGACTTTTTCAGATATGTCCTCAAATATTATATAATGCTTTATAATTTAGCATATTATGAGGCAAACTTTTCCCTTTTCTAATTGAATCTTGATATATAAAAAGTAAATATTTTAATATAATTTAGAACAAAAAAATAAGTTTTAATATAACACTTTAATTCTTCTTTTCTTTTGATTGCATTGCAGAGAGTTGAAGCATTGTGACGAATATTGGTGCATTCAATCCGAAGAATGTGATGCTGCTCATATCAAAGAGAGGCTCTGCTTCTTTCTCAGGCAGAGACAAAAGTAAAGAACAATAACATTCAGACAAATTTGGAGAAGAATAAACTTTTCCGTTAAACTTAATCTTGAACAAAGGACCTTCTTCTATTGACAAGAAATACAAACTATTCTTGATGCATCTCGTTGCGGAGTATCCAATTGGAACACCATCATCATTAGGAACTCCAACTACATTGACATTTATCGATGGAGTATATTTCTTCAAAATTCCTGCGCTGTTTATTTTTGCTGCATTTTCAACAACGCAATGAATTACTCCGATCCAAACATTCATTTTCTCAAGGAAACTCAACGCCTTTATATTTTCAGGGAAATGGGGAATCATCCTCGTTGCTTCATTAGTAATATGAGCTTGGAATTTCTCCGATCCGCCGTTGAAAATTCCCTTGAAATCAGTCATGACAGATAATCCTGTAACAGAGTAAAATCCATTCTTCGCAATGTACTTGAACAAACTAACAGTGTTCTCGGGTTTCCACCATGATGGGAATTTGCCATGTAAAGTAGGTGTCAAATTTGTCATGTTTACATCAATATTTGACACTAATTCTGGCAGTTTTCTCAGAATTTTCAACTGTTTTGACAAACTTTCAATTGCATTTTTCGGAATCCAATTTAGTTCTGCTATGGAAATATCAGTTAGATCTACATCTTGCAGTTCGAAATTGCATTTCTTGAAGAGCATGAATACGTATCTTCTTATGATTTCGCTTCTGTAAGACAATTTTGTCAAAAGAATGTATCTTTCGATCAAAATCTTTATGTTGTCAATTGGGAAGAAATACATTGCTCTCATCAATCTCCTTACTTGATTCTCTTTCATTGTTTCATGCTTGACTTGCATGTGGTCATAGAATTGTTTGGGAGAAAACGGATTTTGTAAAGTAAAGAAATTTTTGGGAATCAAACATTGAATTTCGAAAAACAAAATTTCTTGTCTGTGAAGTATAACCGGGTTACTTGGCCAATTAAATGCTCTTTGTGGAGTGATTTTATCCAGCATAGAAATAATGTTTTCCTTTGACATCTTCTGGTACAACAAAACGTAATCATGACATGATGTCCATTGAGGTTCTACTTGGAAAGAATTTCCGAAATTGAACAAACCGTTGTCGATCAAATAATTCGAATAACAGACAACTAATCTTGTCATGTCAATCAAATAGATGCTGTTCACGAGTTTGTCAAAATCAGGATCATTCTTGAAATATGAATACATGAACAATTGATCGGAAAATGGAAGATAATCAGGGATGTTTTCATCTATTGTCTTTGAACAATTTATGTTCTTGATTATCTTCCTGTAAAAGGTTTTGTAAATGTCAAACCGACTCATGTCAAATTTCGGTTTCTCAGAATTTTTCTTTTTATAGGATTGGAGATCTTCATCGTCTGAGAACTCTTCTTCTGTGTTACAGAGGTAGTAGATGATGGAAACAGCCTTGTAGTTGAAATCTTTGTCGTTTCCGTTGTCAACACTCGCAATCGCGCTGATTAATCCGGAATCTTTGATTTGAGGGAAGACAACTTTGAATTCCTTCTTCTTCATGAGTTTTTCGGCAGGAGCATATACATTTACTGGTCTGTTCCGACGTTTGCCAAGAGGAGTATCGGCAGATGAAGTGAAAAATTGACTCCAAAAATTGTCCGCACCAAAATCTACTTCGTTCTCGTTGGTATCGAAGCTGATCTTGGAGAGCTTTGAGTCTGTGGCATGGTCAACAACAGTTTTAGTTCTTCGAAGTAAAATTTGATCAATATCTTCAGCGCAGAATTTATCTATCGCATCATCGTCTTGATCTTTAAGAATGTAGTAGGCGCCCTTACGAAGCATCATGTCCATTTGCTCGGCGTTAAGGTTGGAATCGTCAAAACCATCTGTAATGACTTTATCTAATCCGAGCTTCATTGAAGCTCTTTCGAACATTTCTTCTTCGTAGGAATTCTTCGTAATGAGTCTGTAAACCTTTACTTCCTTGTCTTGGCCGATTCTGTGGCATCTGGCCATAGCTTGGATATCATTTTGCGGATTCCAATCGGAATCGTAAATAATTACAGTATCAGCAACTGTTAGGTTGATACCCTGTCCACCTGCGCGTGTTGACAGAAGAAATACGAAGGAATCATCGAAAGTTGTGAATCTTTCGATTGATTCTGACCTTCTTTCAACAGATACTGAGCCATCAAGTCGCTCATAGTGGAAATTACGCCAATCTAAGAACCTCTGTATGATATCAAGTACCTTTGTCATTTGAGAAAATATTAAAACTTTATGTCCTCCTTCTTTTAGCTTTGGAAGGAGTTTATCGAGTAGAATCATCTTTCCTGATACACCTACGAGGCTTTCCATGTCTTCCTGTTCGGTCATTTCCCTGTTAATTCCTTTTCTTTGTTTGTATTGTTCTTTGACAAGGGTTTCGTGGGTCAGAAATGGATGGTTACAGATTTTTCGGAGCTCCATTGATATGTTCTTGAAGGAAGTGAGTGAAGAAGTACCTAAAGTTTGTAATAATTCGTCTCTATGGTCATCCAAGAGCAATTTGTAGATCAATCGCTGTTCGTGAGTGAGCTCTACATTGATTACAATCTCTTCTTTGGGTTTGATCGACTTTTCGAAGGTGTCTTTCTTACGTCTTAAAATATAATTTTCAAGTAATGAAGAAAGCTCCTTCATTTGATCGAAATCGGAGGTATTGTACTTAGAAGCAAGCTCCTCGATGTTGGAAAACGCTGTAGGATCAATGAAATGCAATAATGAAATCAATTCTTCGAGATCGTTTTGAATTGGAGTGCCGGTAAGAAGGAAGGAGCAATGTGTTGGTATTTTAGATAACGCCTGATACGTTTTCGAGTGATAAGATTTGAGACGATGAGCTTCATCGATAAATTGAACGGCAAAACGGAATTTCTGGAAGAAACTTATATCGCGGATAGCGTTATCGTAAGGTACGATTATTAGTTCGACTTTCATCTTCTTGTCTTTTGATTTTTCGTTAAAAATACAAAAATTCTTAATTGTATTTCTACTTTCATCGTTTCCGGTGTAAACAATTGAATTCAGGTTGGTCCAAGCGTTGCATTCCTTTTGCCAGTTGAAGGCTGTCGAGAGAGGACAAATAACTAGAAATGGGCCTTTTACTTTGAAAAAAAACTTAAGTGTTTGCATCAAAGCCAATGCCTGTATTGTTTTGCCCATACCCATTTCGTCAGCTAAGATTCCGCCTTTTTGGATTTTCCATTTATCGAAAAGCCACTGAACGCCAACGTATTGGTAGTTCTTGAGCTGATTGTTGTTACTAAACAACATCGTGTTGTTGGTAAATTGGATGCTTGAGTCTAATTTATGCTGATAAATCGGTGGAACATGAGTTGTTGATAAAATTTTCTTGTATTGATCAATAAGTTCTTGTGGAGGATCTGATTCCCATGTGGCATCTTTAATTTGAAGCTTGCCCCATAAAACTAAATATTTTTTCCCTTCATTTTTAATTTTTTGTTTAGCAAGGATTTTTTGGGGTATCAGAAATTCTTTTTCGAAATCTACTCTTGTTGGCTTATAAAGATTTTCAATGAAATCAACAGGAAAAAGACCAAATGAACATTTTTCTTCGAAAACTTTAACTTTGCGAGGATTTAGATTTGATATTGACGAAGAAGACATCCAATCACAGTATTTATATGCTTTGTCTTTTAGTTTAACAAAAAATTTCAAATTTGGATTCGAAGTATCGAGTTCTGGTATGTTTATACCAATAATTTTATCTACTTCGCTATTGTCGGTTGATTCTGACGAGGATGATCCTGATGAATAACTATCTGGTTCGAATTCTGAAGAACCATCCGACATCTTTCCAAAAAAATATGAGAAAAAAAATTATGATCAATGTATTTATGATTTATCATGAATATATTTTCTTACAAGATCTAGAGAAGAGTGTTCAGTCAAATTTTCATCACAAAATAAATGTTTTTAAATACATACGTCTGTTCTCAAATCTTTTCTCAAAATTGTGATAATTGAATATCCATCACGGAAAAATTATAAGATTAAATTAATTTTTCAATTTTCAAGGGTTTACATATAAATATATGATATATAGATATATTGTATTATTTCTTTATCCTAAAAATTAGAATTATTAATAATATTATTTTGGTATTTTCCATTCTTCTAATAAAGATCGAAGTAACATGGCTCAATATTTCTAAATACTTAATTAAAATTTGATTATTGGGTCTTTTCAAAGGGTTATCATATAAATAAATGAGATAAATAAAAATAATAAGTTTATTTATTAATAATTTATAATTTGTTTGAATACTTACCGAAGTTTGTCTCAATTATCTGATCAAATTCAGTCAAATCTGCTCCTTTAGGAGCACATAAGTAAATAAAGAAGTCTTTTATCATATTGACTTTCTTTGTTTCTTCATAGAGAGCAACAACATTGTGTTTCATGGCTTCTGTCCTTAAAAATGAAGCAGTTTTGTTATATTTCTGAGCATCAATATCTTTGAACTCCAAAGTTGTACAATCGTTCTTTTGCATAATATTTATAAATTTCTTGACTTGGTTGGCGATATATTTGGCTGGAATATACTTTGTATCATTAAATATGAAAGTTATGTCTTCTCCGCTCTTCTGAACACCAACAACGAATGGAGCTATCAAGCAAAGTTTCGCAATTCCTTCATCAAAATGCTTTTTATTTAATTCACCTAAAGATTTTTTGTCAATTGAGGTAAGTTCGATCAAATATGAGGCAGCAATCTTTGGAACAGTAACTTTAACTTGGCTGTTAGCAAATGAATCCTTGTTAAGTAAGTATTGCTTATAATCAGGATAGAAAACGTAATTTGTAGCAAGTTCTGGGTATTTCGATGCATCATTAAATGTGGCTGCTTCACCCTTCGACTGAGTAAGTGATTTTACAATGAATTGTGACACATTGGATTCTAAAGGAGTGAAATTGTAATCGTACTTAAATATATCCTTTCCAAGTATTGAAATTGCATATGGATAGCTGTAGAAATTCGCATCAAAGTATTTAAGGTCGATAGTTTGATCTGTTTTTGAAATTCTAAGAGAGCGATGTTGAAGAGCTTCTGCTGGATAAGTTTCGGCTGAAAATGCTGAAATTTCGGATAGTTTAATGGTCTTTTTATCACTGGTATCGGCCTTGTATTTTTCTGTGATTTGTTGTTCGTTGAAATCATTAAGTTGTTCTAAATTAAGTGCTGGAAGATTTTCTGGTTGAATCAAATCAGGAACAGGAATTGCAGGCTTTGAAGCAATTGCAGGTTTCGATGGCTGAGCTGCAGCTGTTGCTGTAGGTTGAATTTTCAATTGATCTTTTGGAGGAGCTTCAACAGAGTGCTGTTTAACTGGCTGAGGAGCAGCTGTTGTTGCAGGCTTGTTAGTTGCTGGCTTTGTTTCTTCTTTCTTCTCAGGAACAGTAACTGGTTTGTTTTCCGTTTTTGGTGCAGGCTGTGAAACTACCGGTTTTTGAGGAGGCTGAGTCTGTGGAGTACTACCAGTAGAGTTTTTCGTTTCTGGAAGCTTTACACCTTGAGGTAAGAATACAATATTGGTGAAATTACCTTTTAATCCGAGAGATTCGCGAAGTTTTGTTAAGATGTCTAATGCTGGTTTGCTGTATTCGATAAAAACAACGTTACCATTAGTTTTATAGTTGATTTGAGTCATTTTAAAAAGTGACAATTACATTAGCGAGTGTATTTTTCTGCGAAAATGTTATATTATTTATGACTTTTTAATATACATATTCATTTAGTATTGGGAACTAAAATATAATATAGTATTTGGATATATCTAAATAAACACAGACAAATTTAACACAATATTCATATTACAATAGTATTTGAATGATATTTCCAATTTGATAATATTTAAAATCCTTTTTAATTGCATATTTTACGGATAATGTCCGCATTAATTGCATCAGAAATGAAATTTATCAAATTCATACAAACAATTTTTATTAATAAACAAATAAACATATGGCATTCATTCCATTATGTGTAGCTAAAAGATCTCCTGACTCTGATCATCCATTGAGATGAAATTGTTTTTAGATAACAAATAACAATGATTTAAAGAAATGCTTAAGTGCATTTCGACTTAGAGTTCTGGAAAACGATTTGTTGCTATCATACTTATTCAATTTTTCATATTTGAGGTATGATATTTCAAATAATATAAAAAACTTGTTTTTTCAATATCAAATTACAATTGGCTCACTTGGAACCTTATCGATTTCTAAAATATCTAAAGAATAAGGATCATTTTGAGGGCCTTCTTTTTCAGTAATTTTCCCAATCTGAGATAGTAAATCTTTGTATTTTTTATTATTTTTGTGTCTATGGATAGTGATTTGTGTTTTTGATGTTGGATCCAATTCTTCAAAGGTAAAAAATAGATTTAATTTTTCCATATTGTCAGAAAGCTTCCATTCAGGATGGTATATATCAGCTAGATAGACCTTCCAGTCAGAGACTTCTCTTTCTACCATATTTTTATAAACTGCTAATTTTGTGTTTAAAGTATTGTACCATGGATGTAGCTTTTCTGGAGTAATAGTCTTTAAAAACCTTCGAGATGGTTTTGTTTCGATTCTTTGCTTTTGCTGAGAAAGCTTAATCAATTCATTTATAGTTTGTATTTCATTGTTGTGATTAAACTCGGATATATTCGATATATCACTTTCGCTAATGTTAATATCATCTTGAAAAACAGCTTGTATTTCAAGCTGATTAAGGGTTTTCATTTATTTTTGTAAATTTTAGTAGAATATATTAAAAGCTTTACAAAATTAATTTTAAAGTGTATTAAAAATGAATCAGGAATATTTAATCAATTAGTCAAAGGTGAGGTCATTTCAGTGGAAATGTTGTGATTATTGAAGCATCTCATTGAATTTTTTGTGAAATTAAGAAAATTCGAAGAGACAAATTCTCCGACTGTAAATGCTTTCTATTATTGTTTAAATTGCCGTCAGAGATGGTGAACGAGCAAATTTGTGCTGAGAACATTTAAATTATCTACACATTCATATCTGCATACTTTTCGTTTCAGATATTTAATAACTTTTGATATTACACGATGAAAATGGAACTCACGATTCTTACATCGTAATGTATCATATTGAATTTGTAGAAGTCGTTTCGAAGGTGAAAAATAATCCAAATAAAAAAAAATTATTATTTAATTTTAACATATTTACTTTATTAATAGTTCTGTTTCTATTATATGACAATATTATGTTATTCCAGAGTTAATAATTCTTCATTTTATTGTGGATTTTCATTTTGATTATTTTCCTCTGGATTTGGATTTCCATCTGCCTGCACTTCATTGTTATCTTTATTTTCTTCAACATTTTCTTCTTGTTTCTGCTCATTTTCTTGTTTTTGTGCCTTCAATAATTCATTCTTTGCTTTTTCTTGTTCAATTGCTTGTTTACAGTTTGCCAAATCTCTAGTAGATTTTTCAACTGCAGCTTTGGCTTTAGCAACTTCATTTTTAAGCTCAATAAGTTGTTTTTCCAAATTATTGGAATTATTATTGAATTCTTTCAAGCTTTCAATCAATTGATCATAACTAGCGTTGGATTCTTTCATCTTCGTGATTTCGCTCATAATTCCATTAAATTTAGAAATTTGAGCATTAATTTGGTTCCATCTATCGAACACAGTCTCAGACTTCTTTGCATTTGGTGGTGGTTGTACCTGAGCTATGAATTGTTCAAGTCTCAACCTTGAAATTTGAGATTGAACAAGTAAATCGATAGAATCAAGTTCTATTTCATCAACTGGGGGTTCTTCAAGTTTAATTTTGTGTTGTTTTATCATTTCACTAGCTAAGGACACAAATTTATTATATTCTGATGAAGTTAATGATTTTTGCTGTACAAACCCGAGTAATTCTTGATTTTTAGTTGACGCTTCGATAAGGAATCTATTTAACTTTCTTGCAGGTGGATAAGCACATTTTGGTGATTCTAAAATTGTTTGTAAGAGTTGTGGAGGTGCATTTTGTAAGTCAGCAGCATTAGTATTGAATATGTTATAAAAATCTGATGCAATCAGTCCGACCAATGTTGGACTTAAGTAATATTTTGAATTTAAAAGCTGAATAAATTGATTTAAGATGAAAGAAGACTTTTCTTTTTGAATCATTGGTAAGAGCTTTTGGGAAATTTCTTCTGCTTCAAACTCGTCTGCAATACATATTAATTCAAATACGTCATTTAAGCTCAATTCAACAGTTCTTCCCATGCAAATATCGACAAATTTCTTTTCTTGATCAGCATTTATACTCGAAGATATGTATTTTTCCATGTTAATGGAATCAATATTTTCAGATTCAACGAAAGCCTTTTGGAAAGCATGCGAAACCATTGCGAATCTGAATAAATCAATATTGTAACTATTGTTATTGATGATAATTCGTGTATTTACCTGTGGAAACATCTAAAATCTTCGTATTGTCACTTTTTATATGGATTATAAAGGAAACGAAGACGAAAATACAAATTTTAATAGGGCAGGTCCAAAATTAATGCGTAGGTCAAATGAAAAAGCCCGGCAAATCGAAACTAAGGAGCATTTTGACGAACTTTTCCAACAGATTTTTGAAGATTATACTTGTATTGACAATTTTGATTTAGAACAAGCCAGAAAGATTATAACATTGCTTTCTATCCATATAGAACCTTATGATGAAATAGACACATCATTTTTAGTTGAAAAAGATTTATTAAATTTAATATCTAGGTATTTGCAAGAAGTTTACGATAAATATGCAAGTCATCATAACTATTATATCGAATCATATATGCCAGTTGCAAAATTAATTTCTTCTTTATTAAGAATGCATTGTTTATCAGAAATTGACTTGTTGAAATATAACATTCTACAGTTCTTTGAGCCATTAATTGAATTTAAGAACATAGAAATACTAAAACAAGCAAATACAATGGATCTTTATATAAAATACAGAAACACTCAATTAAACGTATTAGCAACATTCTACGAATACTTTGCAGATACATCTGATGTCAAGCCAAAGCTTTGCAAACCATTTTTCAATTTTTCAACGAAATCTATTTTGGATTTTGAAGATGAATATGCTACAAAAGCAATGTACTTTGCATCATGTTTCGTTATGAAAAACCAAGAACTTACTGCAAAACAAATCAGATTAATTTTGAAAATGTCCTATTCCGCATTGACATTAGGACGAGCAGAACTATATTCCGAAGCAATATGGATACTTAGAGTTGCTATTGCAAGAGATTCCCATCAATGTGAAATTTTCTTTAGATATTTCCATAATTTAGTTTTTCCTTTATTACTTTCTGTTAAAGAATCAGTTGTTGAAGACTGTCTTAGATTGATATCACAGATTCTTAGTGTTGATCCATTACCTTATGACATTGTTTTACCAACAATTCCAATTAAATATATAATACAAAATTGCGAATCAATTGGAAGTGTTGTTCAAATACAATCATTCCATTGTTTATATAAGATTGCTATGTCTTGTCAATTAGGATCAGAGATGTTACTTCAAAATGATATAATTCCTAATTTAATTGTTATTTTTGATGCTGCTTGTTTGAGAACGAAACAAGCAATTTTGAAAGTTTTGTCTGCAATAATGCATAATATGCCTTCTGAGTATTATATTCCTTTTTATACATGCAATGTTATTGAAATAATCTCAGAGTTTATTGAATCAATGGATGAAAAAGATGTTGTAATATTACTTGGCGCAATTGATCGTATGATTGAAGATTTATCATTTGATCCTAGACTTAATGATATTTTAGCATTGTTTGAAGGCTGCGAACTCTTAGATATAATAGACAGTTTAAGTGACAGTCAGAATGAAAAAATCAGTGTCATTGCTGAGTCAATATTAAACCGAATAACTCCAGCGGAATAAAATTTTGTAGTATTGTTTGTATTATTTCATCTATTTATTTGATTATTTTATTCATCTAATCTTGGGTCGAAATTTGTTAACAACTTTTATGAGAATTTGATCATAATAATTTGGAACTATTATATATTTTGGTTTAGTTCAATGAGAAGATATCAACTAGAGTTGAGATGAAGTAGTTAGTTACATCCTTAAGTTCCAATATTGGATTAATGCTCCATGTACGTCCATTCTCAATTTTGAGATGATATTCAATTTTCAAGAGCCTTTTTGGTCTCTATCTTGCGATCCGAAGGGCTAAGAGGAAACAGTCTATAGAAATATGTATCTATAATGACCAATACACATAGAAAAATATTGATATTGAATGAAGCCAATTCTGTATTGAGTCGACAATATTTGTAGCTGTAGAACCTTGATCATGATATTTTGAAATATCAAGCACTACTCCCTGTGTAATGCATGTTCTTAATCGAATATGTTATAAATAACAATGTATTTTGCGCATAAATAAAATAGCAATTTTTATTCTGCAGGGGGTGACACCGTGAGATGAGATTAAATTTTTTGTAAAAAAATAAATTGATGGATCCAGATACATCTCGTGAACAAGAGAAAGTTCTAGATCCATCAATAATTGCCAAACAGCTTTCTCCATTTGAACAATGGGAGATAGAACATGAAGATCTTGAGCTTCAAAAAAGAATTGGATCAGGTGGCTTTGCCGAAGTATTTTATGGATATAGAAAGAGTGATGGCACAGTTGTTGCAATCAAAAGGTTACGAAATCAGCAGTTTGATGCAAAAATGCTTGAAATGTTCAAACGAGAAGTCGGAATCTTGGCCGGTCTTCGACATTTTGCAATTCTTCCATTCGTAGGAGCATGCACCAAGCCACCTTTCTGTATTGTTACTGAATTCATGAGTGGTGGATCTTTATTTTCTCGATTGCATACGAAAGAAATTACAAACAGGCTTTCGCCGACACAACTCTCAATTATAGCTCTCGGAGTTGCCTACGGTATGGCATTTTTACACGATAATCAAATGCTTCATCGCGATCTTAAATCATTAAACATCTTACTTGATGCCGAAAACTTCCCAAAGATATGTGATTTCGGCATGGCAAGAGCTAAAAGTAATAGTTCTGAGCCAATGACAGGCGAAATCGGCACATCTCAATGGATGGCACCAGAAGTCTTAATTTCACAGAAATACGATGAAAAAGCAGACGTTTATAGCTACGGTATCATTCTCTGGGAGATGTTAACAGGCGATGTGCCTTACAGAGGCCTCAGAGATATTCAAATCGCTATGTCGGTCGTCAATCAAAACAATCGTCCTAAAATACCAAAGAACTGTCCCCATAACTTGGAAAAGTTCATTAGAATATGCTGGGACTCAGATCCGAGTAAAAGACCAGATTTTAATACAATTGTACGAGCTCTCGAGTCAGGAGCAATCTCATTCCCAGGCACAGACATTACCAAGCTCAAAGCCTACGTCGCACAGATCTCATCCGGTGTTGAAGACCACATTGACCTTGATGAGGCTTCATCTGTCGAAATTGACGTGAAATCATTGACCAATGCCCGATTGGCCGATCTTCTGAATGGATTTATCAACGGAACAGGCACGATTCTCCCATTAATTGCCGCATTAAACGATGAAGAAAATCTAAAGAAGGTTGCGAAGCTCGACGTTATGCCTCTCCTTGTAAAAAAGATTGCCACGTGCACGGACAGCCATGCTTCCACATGTTTGATCGCATTAACAGCAGAACTTTTCAGAGATGAATCACAAATTGAACCTTTCATCAAAAACGGAGGTCCAATTGCCACATTAGACATTCTTACAAGACTAAGCACTAGTAGTATTCCTCAGTTACTCGATTGTCTGCTTGTAATCGCTAAACACAGTAATGTTTCATTCACAGCATCACACATTCAAAAAGTGTCACCTTTTCTTTTAGTTGCAGATTTAAGTACAAGGGAAAACGCGTTGAATTTACTTGATCTGATACTGCAACGTAAGCTTTATGAAGAAGTTGATGCTTTCAATCCATCGATAGAGAATTTAATAAGAAATGCAGCTCCAGAATCGAAAACTGATCTTTTGAAAAAAGTTTTGGTTTTGATGTTGAAATTGTCACTTTTTTCATCTGTAAAACAACAGATGAAAAATTCGGATGGTATTGATAGAGTATGTCCATTAATTGCGCATGAGAATACTTCAATTATATCAATGAGTTTGAAGTTAATTCGGAATTTACTTGATGATCAAACAACTCCGAAATTACACACAATTTCTGAATTTGTCAGGAGTTTTCCAGGAGCTGTTTCCAACGGAGACATCAATGTACAGAGGGAAGCATTGCAGACATTGTCATGTATGATGAGATACCAACAGTTATACAAAGAAGTATCGCAAATCAGGACTTTTCCTGGTTCTTTTTCACAGTTAATTTCCGGTTTTGATCAAATCAACAAAATTTTGTCTCTCGATTTGTGTTACAAATTCTGCGTCGACAAAGCAACGGAACCACTCTTTAAGGCCATGATGCACATGTTCCTTGTATGCCTTGACAATGACAAGGACGATGACAACTGTTTAGTCCTCGCCAGTTCTTGTGCAACTGCTTTAATCGCATCGGAAAATTTGGAAATTGTGAATAATTCTGACAGTCAAATCCTCAAAAATTTCCTGTCAAAAAGTTTAGAAAACAAAAATCTTTTGGTAGTAGAAAGTGGTCTGAGAATGATAGGAACTCTTAGTACTTCAATAGATGGTGCAAACTTGATGGATGAATGGGGAATTTCTGTTGTTGTGTCAGATTTAATGAAGAAAAGTGACAATGAAGAAATTCGGTCATTATCTGTTATGTGTATGGCTGCTATGTCAGCAGCTATTCCTGATGCGAAAGTGATGTTAGATTCAGTAGAGACTTTCTTTGAAATGTCGAGAATTTCTAATTTCGGTGTTTATCCATTGATTTGTATTTCGAATGTAACTGTTGATCCGAATTGTGCTGCAGCTTGTGTTCCATTTTTAAGAGATCTCTTGAATCTTTTAAAGAATGGTGATAAGAATACAAGGAAACGGGCTTTGAGTACAATCCATAGAATACTAATAACTCCGGAAGCTTCTGATATTTTGGATGATAAAACAAACATTATTGAGTTGATTAAATCAACATTTGAGTTCTGGAAAACTGATGATGCATCGATTTTATCTGATATTTTCGACAGTGTTTCAGCTGTTTCTGTCCCTTGCAAAGTAATGATGGAAAATGGAATGTTGGATGTAATTGTTCAGAAGCTGAAATCATGTAAAATTAATGACCCAATGAGACCTAAGTTAATAAGAATCAAATCAAGATTAACTCCATCCAAGAATAATTAATATCTTGTTTTGTTTTGTTATATTTGTGTTTTTTTTTTATTTGTTTTGAATGTATAAATATTCTTCTATTCATTATTTTCCGTATCTTGATTATCATGAAGATGATTCATAGATTTAAGGCTCCACTTGCACAAATTTTGTTTTAAAGCTGCACTTATGCCCATCTGACTTTAATTCAAATTTTTGACAACTAGCATGAAGCGTAATTGAAAATTAACCTTAACCATCTTAATCGAAAGCCATGTCATAGGGGCGTATTGTCACCCTTAATAATTATAATAATTACTTTCATGAGTCCGTATGGGTGCATATTGCTAAAGGCAAATTCGCATAAATCTTTTTAGATGGCGAGATAAAAGCATTGAGACTCTCCTGCTAATTGAGAATTTATCAAATATAAATAAACAAAATCAAGTGAGTATTTTACGTAATATAAAAGCATAAAGATTGATCTTGATTTAAATATTTGTGTTCTGCAAATGACTCTCTAATTTAAAATTTATAAAGTCCGCAGTGATCTATTCTAATCAAGTTTGAAGCAGTGGAGAAATTTTGGGGTTCGGCTTCTTTCGATTAATAAAAACTTCTGGCTATACACTAATCATCATTAATTAACACTATACTTCAATAAGCAATACATTGATGTTATGATTTTAAGCGAGAAAACTGATTTCTAGGGGGTTTTATTGATTTACAGAAAACTTTATGTAAAACAATCTAAAGCGTGTAAAGTAATAGAATTAGGAATATATATATATATATAAGCATTTAAGATTTTAGTGGTTTCGAAAGGCATTAACACCAATAGATGTGACTGGGATTTGATTTATTTAGTATTTCATTTTTAAATTTTCACACAGCTGATGAACACCAGCATTAGAATTCATGTCAGGTTCATTGATACCTCAAATGTAATGATTTCCTTGAAGTTCTTTGAATAATTTTGTTTGAATATAAACATTTGGATAAAAATCCTATTCTTTTCGACTTTTCTATTGCTATTGTGCCATTTGATACCTATGAACTTAATTAATGTTCATAAATTATTTCCGAAATCTTTGTGATCATTGACTTCCACATGTCTAACATAACATTTAAAATATATATATATATATATGTTAAAATGCAAATATGGCCCTTTTAGAAAAATATTAATGTCCAACCAAGACATTCATCCCAATAAATACAGCGAGCTGCGAAGTATCTGTAAATACTACATTGATTCATACATTGCTTTGTATCAGCTGAAAACGGAAAAGGAAGAAGAATTAAAAGATATTTACAAAATAATCAAAACAGAATTGATTGATTCAAAGAAATACCCACCAAAAAATATTATGGAAGATATTTTAAATATCATTCGGTATAATAATCGCTATACAAAGTCATATTTATCTCTTGCCAAACTCATATCTGATGATTATCATGTTGAAAAGGTCAAAAATATTCCCATGATTTCTATTCTCTTGTTTTACAAAGAATATGGTATTAAATTAGATAAATACCTTAATTTTAAAAATTTTAACTCAGTAAATATGGATATTCATACAGAAAATACGATTTACAGAGCAATTATGAATAATGACTTAGAAACATTTATCTTGTTCACTGAAAGAGAAGGATTTAATAAAGATCAAAAACTTGAAAGTAGTTTATATCCATTTTCTTTCAAATCTTATAATGGATATTCGTTACTTGAATTATGTTGTTACCATGGAGCAGTTGATTGTTTCAAATTCTTAAGAACTAAATATGGTTCAGAAATAACTCAAAAATGTCTTCAATTATCATTTTTAGGAGGAAATCCAGAGATCATGAGTGAATGTCTGAAATATCAGAAACCAGATAAATTTTGCATGGAATATGCAATTATTTCACACAACATTAATTTTGTTACATTCTTGATGAATGAGTTCAATATAGAGATCGATTTGGATTATTGTGTACAGTATAATAATCTTGAGTCATTTTTAGTTTATTTCGATCAAACTAATGATATTAATGCATGCTTTTTTAATTCGACGAGGTTCAATATTCCATCCCTTTGCAAATATTTTCTATCAAATGGTGCAAATATCAATACAAAAGATAAACATGAAGAAACCGCTCTTCATAAAGCAGCACGTTATGATAGTAAAGAAATAGCCGAACTTCTTATTTCACATGGTATAAATATCAATGAAAAAAATAAATATGGAGAAACAACTCTTCATAGAGCAGCACGTTATGATAGTAAAGAAACAGCCGAACTTCTTATTTCACACGGCGCAAACATCAATGAAAAAGATAATGAAGGAGAATCCGCCCTTCATATTGCAGCATATGATAATAGTAAAGAAACAGCCAAACTTCTTATTTCACATGGTATAAATATCAACGAAAAAAACAATAATGGAAGAACTGCTCTTCATAATGCAACACGTTGTGATAGTAAAGAAACAGCCGAACTTCTTATTTCACATGGTATAAATATCAATGAAAAAAATAATAATGGAGAAACAGTTCTTCATAAAGCAATATTTTATAATAGTAAAGAAACAGCCAAACTTCTTATTTCACATGGTATAAATATCAACGAAAAAAATAATAATGGAAGAACTGCTCTTCGTATTGCAGCATTTAATAATAATAAAGAAACAGTCGAACTTCTTATTTCACATGGAGCGAATACCAATGAAAAAGATAATATGGGAGACACCCCCTTCATATTGCAGCAATTAATAATAGTAAAGAAACAGCCGAACTTCTTATTTCACATGGTATAAATGTCAATGAAAAAAATAATGATGGAAGAACTGCTCTTCATAGTGCAGCACGTTATGATAGTAAAGAAACAGCCGAACTTCTTATTTCACATGGTGCAAATATCAATGAAAAAGATAATGATGAAAAAAACCCTCTTCACATTGCAGCATTTAATAATAATAAAGAAACAGTCGAACTTCTTATTTCACATGGTATAAATATCAATGAAAAAGATAATGATAGACGAACCGCTCTTGATAATGCAGTATTTTATAATTGTAAAGAAACAGCCGAACTTCTTATTTCACATGTCTCAAAAATATAATGTTCTTACATAATATACTAAGCTTAATTTCTCATTAGATAATATACATAAAACGATTTTTACGTATATCACCTTTAATTTTTATCACTCTTTTTAGGAATGCTTCCACTCTGAATATTTGAGTAAATGCTTGATCAATAACTTGTGAACATGAGTCTAGTAGGTGATATTCAATGCCTAACTAAGGCTTGATGTATTTATAATTTAATAATTCGCTGACTAAGAATTAATATATAACTCATCAACAATGAGCATTTGTTGACTATTTGAGCTATCTTTATTAAGGGAAACATCTATTTAAAATTATATATGATAATTTATTAAGGCTTAGCTTTGGCATATGCTTGCTCCGTTTTAGATACATGTGTCCATATGAGTTAAATTTGAAACGGTATAAATATGTTCTAATTCCTGCATTAGATCAAGCAATGATATCAAACAAGCAATGATCCATAAAACATACTAAATACAGACCTTTGTGTCTTTAAATCGAAGAACTATTATATCTTACAGGCGTAAATATACTTTTTTTATATAAATTTTTATGAGCGCAATCAAACCTCCTGCTCAAGTACCAGGATTATCACCTAAGAGGAGACAACTTCCAAAAATTATTAAACCGAATGTTGAACCAAAGAAGGGAAGGAGATTGATTGATTCCCAATTAGGCTCGCGTCCAACATCTGCCCGCAACGTAGAAGAAGCTAAAACAGAAATTACGAAGCTAAAAGTCGAATCGATTGCTCCTCAAGAGATAGAAGAGCAAATTGTCAGAGAACCGCCAACATCTCGTTCTGCATCTATTCTCAACTATATCCCACGACTTAAAGAGCAGAATCATGAGATTGTCCTTGATCAAATATTAGGCATGATCAAAGTTTGGAATAGTGATTCTGTATTTGAAATGGATTTCAACGTTTATCATATTTTAACACACGAACTATTCTCTATGGTTTCAACAATATATGCAGATTTTACAAAAGAAAAGTCCAACATACTATTTAAATCACTTGCAATTTGTTTGCGTGTTATTCCGCAATCAGACAGAGAAATTCTTGATCCAATTACAAAACTCATATATGAAATGAGCAAAGATGAGTTTAACGATGAGCTTTTTATTAGATGCGGAATAATTCCAAAACTTGTCCAAAATTCTTTTTCAGATCTTGACGATATTTCAACATACTCATGTGCATCATTAAGGCACATTGCTTCTAATGTAGAATGCATGCATGAAATCATCAAAACTGATGTAATTGTCGATATATGCAAATCATTACAATGCAGAACGCGTAAAAAACGTTTCCAAAAGGAAAAACTTACGTTTGTTTACCAAGTGTTAGGGCTTTTTGTTACAATTTGTGAAGATTTACCTGACTTTGACTTTATTACTAAATATGAGCTTCCTTCCAACATTCTACAGCTCATTCTCATATGTGACTTTGATCCTCTCATCCAGAATATGATTGCAAAGGCACTCAGTGTTCTTGTTCTTCATATCGAAGCTCTTGACGAGCTTGAATCAGAAGATTTAATGCCATTTGCAACTTTACTTCGTTCAGAACGTCTTGATGTTGCAGAAATGGCAGGAATTGCTTTGGCAAACGCAATGCAACAATCTGATGAAATAACTGCTAACGTTGTGTTCTCTGACCAGCCTTTAAATATTCATGGCATGTTCGACCTCCTTTCTGTCACAGAAAGTATTGATCTCGCCGTTTCTTTAATGAGATGTATCTCAAAAGCGTCGTCTACGTTACAAGGATCAGAAGATGCCTATCAGCATATTACTCTTTTGTTCGGATTGCTCGATACTCCAATGAACGAAGTCGAAGAATGGACTCCAGAGCAAATGAGTGTTGCAAATGCACTGATTGCCCTCAAAAATTTGACGGTCAACCACATGGAAAGAGTTTGTGTCGGAATGAGAGGTAAAATGGTCCATTTGATGAATTACGGAATTCTTGACTACGTCTTGGATTTGATGAAAGAGATGATTAAGTGCGATGCTGGAATTGAAACATGCATGGAAGTAAAGGACGTAGAAGAAATAGCTCTTCTAATGCCTTCTTTGAAGGATCTTGCAAAGAAATTTGAAAAATAAATTCTAAATTTGTATGTTTTTATATAACTAGTATCTCAATACATTTTTATCCTTATACTAATGATAATACTCCAATTCAATGAAATATTTTTCTTTTCTATCAATAAAATTGAATTTATTTTTATGAGAGTGTCATCCTTTCGGTTATTTAGATTACCTTATTCAAGTCTAAGTATATGGAAAGCTATCTATATAACTATTTCTGTTTCCAAATTGAATTGAACATAAAAAATCGATTTACCCATAAATTTTACTAATAAAGTTGTTAATTATGAGTAGCTGAATCTAAACTGCTAATGAGAATGAAATAATCATTGATAAAATCTAAAAAGTGACATATGATACACTTATGAGCGATTATGAACTTCATTCAAGTGGATCATTTACACAAGATGATGGCGATGGGCCACAATATTTAAGTAGATTTATTAATGAGGTAAGTATTATGCCACAACGTGAAAAAATCGGTGAAATCGGAATAGAACCAAATGCACTAGGAATTCCACCAGAAGGTGCAACCTACGAGAAGATGCGATCTATTTTTGGAGAAATCCCATTTGATTATTGGACAAATGCAAATTTTCCAAAACAATGGCTTGAATTTTCTAATATTCAGCCTCCAAATTTAATAATAGAACATTTGCCAGAACTTACTCTCTTTTTTATGTTTTATTGCCAAACAAAAGATTCATTGCAGATGTTATCAGCAAAAGAACTACAAAATCGTGGCTGGAAATATAGCGATTATACTTGGACTTATGATAATAAGTCTGAACATAAAGTTTTTAATATCAATAACTGGTCTATTGAAGAAAAATAAATTGTTAGCTTTATATGTTTACTTGAATTGTTTTTCATGTTTAATTACCCTAACAAAAACATGTCACTTTTATTTTGATTTATATTTATGTTATGATTTTTATTGAATTTTGTAAAATTATAATGAATGAATGTATATGATTGCCAAACATTATTCTAATAAGAAATTTGCTTATTGCTGTAATTATATTGTTATAGTGTATAAAAAATGCATGGTTTAAACGAAAGATGAAGTTAGCATCAGATTTTTATTATTCGATTCTTCTGTAGGGTTAGTTATGCATGCATCGCTTTAATAATATATGCTCATAACTCAAAAATAACAATAAATAAAATTTGAGATAGAAAAACAAACATGTTTAAAGTTGCAGTCTATTATTATCAAATATAACTACAACTGTAAATAAGAAAATGAAAATCATCGAAAAAGCTAATATATTAATATGAGAATTATTATTCTGCTTACTGATTGCAATATTGCGCTTGATAACGTTTTGTTGCAATGGTAAATCAATTTCGTCTATAGTTAAATCTCCAGATATATCATGCTTCGAGAGGAAATTTCGAGTTCCTAGTTTTTGAGAATATCTCTTAACCATCAGCGTTCCGATTGAAAATGCTATATAATTTTCATAGAATTTTTGTATAATTTCCATATTCCCTTGAAGAGAAAATATCGATGAAAGTGCACGCGATATTTTGGCAATAATATCTGGTATTTTGATTTCTTTTGAATAAGCTTTAGAGAGCATGTTGAACAATTTTTCAACATCTTGTTGTACGAGAAAATACCTATCTTGCGCGAGCTTTTTTTGTAAGTTGTCATATTTAGATTGAAGAGATTTGTTCTTGTTTATTGGATCAAATACTCTTTTTAGTAATGATATTAATTGTTCTTTTAATTTCGATATTAAATTATCGTTTTTAGGAAATATTTTGAGAATCCTAGGCTTTAATTCGTTGGTAAATGTGCTGCATGCCAGAAATGTATAAAAACTTGAATTATTTTGTCTATCAAACAAAATCTTATCAATTTTGTTGATTATATCTTGCATTTCACCGAAAGAATCTTTACTGTTAATCATATTTATCCATAGTTCAACGCAAGCAGTTCTAATTTCACGTAACGAGATATCGATACGCGACGAATCATGATAGTCCATGGAAATTATTAATATTTGTGAATTGAAAAATATAATTACATTCATCACTATACTCTGGTTAACCTGATTTCTTTCTTCTATGCTCAAAATTAATGAATTTTTAAATTGGTTTAATTTTTAATATTGATTCATTCTACACTATCTTAATTTAGCGAAATCTAGCTATTCAACCCCGAATTCTGTTTAATTTTAAATTGAAAATTATAATTTATTTACAAAATATGATTGATTATGTGTGGAAAATAGGAGAATTAGTATTATTATCGATTTTAACTCATATCTATTTTTCTAAATTTTTTTCATATATCATTTTTTATAGTAAAACTTATATTTTTTGAATATGAAATATATTTTTTAGATTTTTTTTGAAAAATTTATTTCATAATTGATCATGATTGACACCATTATCGCTCTCTGTTGAATATAAATAAAAAGGATTTTTATTAAAAAATCTATAAACATACTTTTTTAGTCGGATTGAGATTCAATTTCATCTATAGAAAGGAGTTTACAAGAATTTTTCTACCTGAATGCACTTTCTTCATACATACATAGTAAATCCAATGAACATAAGATCTTAAATTATAGAAATTGAGGCAACCTTTTTCGATTCTATTTATGTTTAAAAGGTAGTCATGATATTAACATCTATATCCAATCGACTTATAGAGGAAATACGATTATATTTATAATAAAGAATTTTATTTCTAGATAATAAAATTGTAGATAAATCTCTATACCTTCTTGCAGTTCATTAAATATCCATTCTACAGTGGGTGACATATTTGTTCATCATCAAAATTGATGCAACTGCAACCATTCTATTTCATATCTGCAACAGAGTTAAATAGATTTTGTTTCACAATGTCAAAAATATATCGTGTTCACCCTTACAGACATTATATTCTCTTTTTCATACTTCTTTATTATATATTCTTATACAAAAAAGGAAATGACATTGGATTAGCGGAAAATGACACATATTTTAAAGAATTTACTTATCCATTATCAAGAATTTTCTTCGGAGTGATTACAGAGCCGAAATCAAAAAGAAGACCGTTTGTATACAATAATTGGATGCATAGCATATTAAAATCTAACTTCAATTCTGTTAAATTTATTTCTCCGTTACAAAATGATTATCCAAATTTATATATCGAGCCCATAAAGGAGCTATACAATCATACTGTTGGAGTAAATAAAGATGTTTTTCGTGATAGAGACAGAGCAATCAAAAGAATTACTGGCGCCAAATTTTTTTTGGACAATACAAACTTAGAATATTATTGGACGTTAACAGATGATACATCAATCGATATGCTAGCTGCTACTAAGATGATCAGAGAATTAGATCAAAAAAATAATCCATTTTACGATAATGTATTACAAGGGCATTGTATAACATCTCTTCAATATACTTACTTGCAAGGTGGTGCCGGGTATCTTATGTCGCGCCCTGTTGCAAAATTATTAGTTGATCACGCAGATGAATGGCTTGAACAGATTAAAGCAGACGATGACTTTTATAGCAATAGCATTAGAGAATGGGCAGGTTTGACGTATCAACAGACGGCTTCTCATTATTTTCTTGGCCATATCATAAAAGAAAATTTTGAACACGCTTTTAAGCAAAAAGTGTATCCCAAATGCAACAAAACACGAGACTTTTTCTGTGGATACTCCTCCTCCTATCCAATCTCAGATATTGCTATAATTCATATAAGTGATTTAAATTTTCATCACACGTTCCTGAGAAAAGTTAACGCATTGAAGAATATGAATAATTGTTCAGTCAGATATGTTATAGAATTCCCTATTTTTATTAAATTTTGTCGAGAAGAATGAAATTTAAAATTTTGTTATGTTACCATGTATATTATATATGCAAACAGTTTTTATTCATAGTTCCATAAGTACATATTGAAATTTATACTCAAACAATGTTTATATATAAATTTATCTTTTAATAATGTGCATAAGAACCAAAATATAAGTTTTTTATACAATTTATAAGTCAACAAATAATTTATCTTATTTGCCTAATTAATATAAATTTTGAACAAATTGAATTTCGTATTGATTGCATTCTATCAAAATGAAAACAATCTATGCCTTATTCTTATACCTTTTATTGGAGTATCATATAACAAAAACGAACTTTGAAATAAAGATTATTGTTACCTCTGTCTTGTCATTACAAATACTAGGGCTTGACTTACTAAAACACTGAAATATAAATGAATAATATTTAGACGTAACGATAAAATAAAAAAAAATTGTGATACAAAAATAATAAAATAAAATTAAATTAAATTAAATGTCTTCATCAGAGATTTCTTCACCGAATGCCTCCAAAGCCTTCTTAATGTAAGTGTCATCATCAAAGTCATCCTCTTCTTCATTGTCGATTTCATCCTTCGACAATTTCATGTAGATTCCTTCTTTTTCTTCTTTTGTTTGAGTTTGCAAATCAGCTGAATTTGCTGATATTTCTTCATCGATTTCCTCATCATTGCTCTTCATTAATTCAGCATCATTTATAACGATGTTGGAGTTCTTTGTTTTATTTTGTTCCTTATTTTCTTCTTCCTCATCATCATCAGATAAATGGATGTTGTTTTCTTTCTTGAATTTTTCGATGTCGAAATCATCATCTTCCTCTTCTTCCTCTTCTTTTTGTTCTTTGATTTGAGAAACTCTCTTTTCAAGATCTTTGATGAGATCATTTTCATCATCATCTTCTTCCTCTGAATTTTCTTCTAATTCTGCTCTTTTCTGTGCAACTCTTTTTTCCAAACTTTTGATGAAATCATTTTCATCATCATCATCTTCATTTTCTTCATTTACTTCTTGCTCTTTTTCTTTTTCTTCTTCATCTTCTTCATCTGAGTTTTCTTCTAATTCTGCCTTCTTTTCTGCAACTTTTCTTTCTAAACTCTTGATGAAATCTTCACCATCATCTTCCTCTTCTTCTTCAACTTTTTGAATTTGAATTTGATTTTCTTTTTCTTCTTCTTCGGAATTATCTTCTAATTCAGCTTTTCTTTGTGCAACTCTCTTTTCCAAGCTTTTGATGAAGTCTTCTTCCTCTTCTTCTTCATGTTTTGATTCATTCATTATTTGTGATTGCGATCTCTTTTCGTCTTCTTGTATTTTAAAACTGAGTTGATCCAATTCATCGATTTTCTTCATTAGTTCTGAAGCATCCAACGAATCTTCTTCTTCCTCTTCAACTTTTTGTTCTTTCTTTGGTTGTTCTCTTGGAGATTTCTCTGGTGTTTGTGTTCCTTTAACAACAAGGTTTTCATCTAAATCTTCTTCTTCTTCAGGTAATTGCTGTGCAATCAATTTCTTCAGTTCTTCCTCATCAATTTCATCTTCTTCGACTGGTTCAATTCCAGAATTTTCTTCATCATTTGGAGGTAAAACTTCGCTTCCTTCGTTTGCATCTTCTTTCTTCTTTTCGGAATCAGTTGATTCAGCAAACGAAGGAGCTGTTGGAGAAGGAGGTCCAGAGAATCTAATTTCATCTTTCTCCGAATCTCTTTCGATAATTACATCATCACCAATTTTTTGTATCGAAGTGTTTGATGATCCGACTTTAATTTTCGGAGCTGCCTTCAAAGGAATCTGTTCTTCCTCTTCATCCTCAGCAATGTCTTGTAGATTGATCTTGTTCAAGTTGTTCTTCTTCAATGATGTATTTAGTTCCTGATCGATATTTGATGCTTCATCATTAAATTGTTCATCATCATTGAATTTTTCTTCTTCTTCATCTTCTTCTTCAGCGATTTTGATGGATTTGATGAATTTCTGGAGCTTGGTGATCTTCTGTGCGTATTCCTCTTCTTTGTAAGTGTCTTCGTCTGTTGGATCTTGCATTGGGGAATCATCAAAGTCGTCTTTCTTTATTTCTTCGTTGTTTTGTTCTTCTTCTTCTTTCTGGGATTGATTTGTGTCTTCTTCGAAATCGTTCTCGTCGTTTTCCTCTTCTTCTTCGACTTTCTTGATAATGGCTTGTCTCGCTTTGTGTGGAGATTCTTTCTTTGGTGGTTGTTTCTCTTCTTCGTCAAAAAGTGACGATTTTGAGTCAGAATCTTTTTGTTGTTGCTGATTCTGCTTTGAAGGAGAGAATCCAGCGATTCTTGCATTGACTCTCTTGATGAGTTCGTCAGCAGAAGACATTTCGTCACCGTCATCTTCATCTAAAAGTGGTGATGACTTGGTTTCGGACTTTTTGTCTTGAGATTCAACAACAAAGTCACTGGAATCTGAAGAAATCGTGACTTCACGGGTTTTTGTGGCCTTTGGATTCTTCAAAATTGACTTTGGTTGGTCGGAAATGCTGGAAATTTCTTCATTTGAATCTTCTGAGTCAACAGGAAGTCCTTGCTTGATCCTGTTGATGATTTCACGAGATCTAGCAGCTGGTTCTTCCTTTTCTTCCTTCTTTGGCTCTTCTGGTTTGTTGGAATCCGAAATTTTCTTTGTAAGATTCTTGATTTTGGCGGATTGTCTGGCAATGAAGTCAGAAACACTGGTATCAGAATCGGTATCGTATATAATTGATCTGGCGTTTGGCTTGGCCGCTTTCTGGTCTTCTTTCTTGAGATTTGATGAATTGCTCATTTCGGAATCGAAAGAAGAGGTAACGCTGATGGAGGATGATTTCATTGGCTTTGATTTAGAGGTATTGCGTGCTGATTTTCCTGGTTTCTGGGAAGATTTCTGAGAATAAGAATCAGTTGGCAATAAAGATTCATCGGAGTATGAATCTGTGATTTCTAAAATACCACTGACAGTCTTCTTCTGATGGATTGAGTGTTTGGACTTCTTTGGCTGAGAATATTTGGATGGAAGGTCAATACTGGAAATAGAACTTGAATCATCAGATAAATCAATTGGGTAAGCATGACTTGCCTTGCGATCTTGCTTACGAGGTGCTGGAGTTGAATCATCTGAACTATCATCGAAATCTTCTTCACGATTCTTGAAACTTGATGGACGCTTCTGACTCTTATTGTCTCTTATTGAAGTTTGGCGTTTCTTTGATGAAAATCTGCGAAGAATTTCATCATCTTCACTAGAATCAGATGAAGAGCTAAGATCGTAAATTGGAACGATGCTGTGCTTCCTTGGTACTGATTTATTAGATTTGATGGAGTTGATTCTAAGTCTATCTTCGAAATCTGAGTCAGAAGAGTCTTCTAGAAGTTCATCAATTTCTTCGCGTGTCATGAGATGTGGAGGGTTAATTGATTTCGTTGTACCCTTATAAGATGAATTCTTTTGTGGCAAAAATGAATCTAAAGAATCTGAATCTGATGAAGAAAAGCTATCTTGAAGGAGTGATTTAAGATCGTATTTCTTTTGCATTATGGGACTAACTGGCTTTTGTTGAGTTTGATGATTGTTGAAGTATTTGCTTGAAAAATTCTGTGGTTGTGCATTGAATTTTCCGGAATTTCCAGTGGAAGCCTGATAAACTGGAATTGAATTTTGTTTTTGGCCGTATCTTGGCTGGTTTACAGGAGAATTTGTTGGACCGTGGAAATAATTATTTGATGAGTATGTTGGCTGCTGCGAATATTGAAATGGACTACTGCGATTGTTTGGAGATGTGGTGCGTTTAGGAGGCTGATAAGATCGAACGGTATAATGAATTTTCGAAGCTGGATATTGTGCAAGGTTTGCATATGGTCCGCGCGGCGGGTTATAAAGCCCGCTGACGAATTGCTGATATTTTGGCTTTTTATCTCTTTCGTCCCTAGGAAAACTCATGAGATAAAATTTGAATGAGTCTGCTTTTGACCGTTTACTTATGAGCTTGATAAAAATAAACATAAAATGAGTTATGATTCGTTATCATTTATATCCGAAAATTGAAATTAATTTTTTTACATTGGCAAAAGTAAAAAAAAATTATGATGATGCAAATTGTTGAGTTCATATTTCATCAACGTCCTTTGTGTTGATAGTTAAATCTTGCAAAGTAAGATAACTCCCATGTCTCGTTACTATCCTTCTCTTTCGTTTTAAAATTTTGCTTTATCGATTCATTTTTTGGTAGAACATCCCGATTCTTTATTATAGAAGCACAAATGAACATCTAAATATTCTGTGGTTAGTTAAATACTTCATATTTGCGCATATCTTTTTCAGTTTTAATTCATTTTTGATTGAATTATTCCAATATACGTTTGAAATATCCAAAATTATTAAAACATTTCAATGGAAGGTTCTCCTGAAGAGAAATTTTTGGCACTGAAGATTTATTTAGATATATGAATTTAATTCATCAATAATGAATGATAAGTGAACAATTATCAATACCATCCCACATATACCATTATTGTGATGTTAAACATATGATGTAAATACCTTCTTTATTAGAAATTGTTGAACTAAAAGGATAAAACGATAAAATTTATTTGGCCGGATAAATTATTAAATATTTTAACACATGGATTACAATTATGATATAGAAACAGCAAAGTCAAACGATGATTATTATTTTTATTTCGCCTATGGCTCTAACATGAACTTAGAGCAGATGTCTGTTAGATGTCCAACAGGTATAAAAATTGGAAAAGGAGTTTTACACAATTATCAGGTTGTTGAAGCCAAATATGCAGATATTGACGAAACAATGATGGAAAATGTTAATGGACTTGTATGGAAAGTAAATAAAAATGAGTTAAAAAATTTGGATGCATACGAAAGCTATCCTGAACAATATTTCCGTTTTATTCAGAAAATAGACGTGAATGGAAAATTAATACAATGCATTATCTATAAAATGACAAAAGAATACAGAGATAAAAAGAAAAATATACATTATTCAGAAGAATATAAATGTGCATGCAGGAAAGGTGCAGAGGATAATGGTATTCCTTCTGTTTTTTAAATTTACCAAAAAGTGGAAAGTCAGGTTTTTATGAAAATTTTCTGACTCTGATTTATAATCAAAATCAGAAATGAATAATCTTTGTGTATCGTTTTGGTAAATAAAAAAAATCTTATAATATAGTTTATTGACATCAAATTTATCTTTTTACGATTTTTTTTTGCGATAATTATGGCAATAATTTGTGGGGATAAAATTACTTCTTGTATAATATTGAAAAGTATAACTAGCTAGAGAATTCTACAACACGTGACTCCTATTTGGATCTCAATCGATCTTTAATTTTGAATGATTTTGAAATTGTTATTCTTTATCTGGAATCCGAGTTATTCTATTTAAAAAATTGCCATATATATGATCAATATGATTCATATTTAAATTATTCGATCAAATCGATTCTAATATAAACTATTCGATCAATATGATTCAGCACTTCATTACTATTTAAGTGAACATTCATTATGGATAAGGATAAATAGTATTACAACAATGCTATGAAATATAAAAAGGAAAAAAAAAATCTTATCTAAAAAAATAAAAACTTTGCAAATCACAATCAGTATGTGAACAGTTGTTTTGATGGCCAAAAATATAAATATTAATAGGAATTAAATATATATCAATTTTTAAAAAATTGTAAATAAAAATAAACAAGATGAATGCCATACGATGCTGTGGCGAATAACGCTAATCATAATTACATATGATCAAGATCATTGAACGGAACATGTGGGGAATTAAGTTCAGGTGAAAGTTCTGAAAAAGGGCGTATACATATCCTGGAGCCATCTGTAAATTCCATTGAAATTGAATGATATGACAGATAATCCTGTATCTCCTTAAAATAAAGGTGTAACCAGAAGAAACATGTAGATTTACGTCTGTAGCATTCTCGTCCGAAATGTAGACCTATGGCTTCTGCTAACATCATGCAAATCGAGCGAATGATTGAATAGTTAACTTTATGACCGAAGACAAAATTTAGCCATTGCAATTCTTTGGAATGCTTAGCTTTATAGTCGCTGGAATTCATCTTCTGGATGAAATTCTTCTCTAGGATGGCCTCGGCGAACTCGTTCATCGTAAAATCTGTTGAATGAAATCGATTCAATTTTTTTTTCAATTAATTGAATTTGTAAAACCAACCGAAAAAATATCATGATCAAAAACTATGCGAAATTTATTCTTTATAATGAGATAATTGTTTATTCCGATTTGGCCAAAAAAAGTCAGAAGTGAATTGAGAAAGTCAGCGATTTCTCAATCCATCAAATATGCCTCATATAAAATAATTGATATACCAACAATTCAATGATATAGTTTATTGATGAGTGGTAACTCATTTTGATAATCGATCACATTCCCAATTGTCAATTCAAATGCATCATTAGTAAAAAAGAGCAAAATGCAGAACATCTCATTGGTATTGATGCATATTTGTGCACAAATCCATACGGCTATTGGCAAATGAATATATTATGGTTATTCAATTCAAAATGCGCTCACATTCATTAAATCTACCATACTAAGAATAACATTAGTATCATTGCATATAGATGATAATTTATTATATATTTCTCAATATTAAATTCTTAATATCCATGAAAAATTTGTTTGTATTTATTATTTTTTTTATATTTCATTAATAAATACAATATCAGCTGGTAATAACTCCAAAAACTTGATTTCAATTTAAATAGTACATCATTTTTGAAATATTTTATAAATAATAAAAAAAGTATCAAAATATATTAAAATTTACATTTTGGCAACATACACTGCAATAAGGATAATAATAAACAAAGCCAAAATTGCTAAAACTTCAGATGACAAAAAGAATTTCTGATCAATTTTGGCAATTAATTGTTCTTTTTCTGTCAATGATAAAGCAGGAGGCATATGATCGACATTAGGTATTGTCTTGAAGCTCTTGGCTGCATTCGATGATTTCTTCGGCGAATCATAATCTTTTTGTTTTTCAATAATTTTATTAATTCTTTCTACAGTTTTGACATCGATGTATTCCTTGGTAATTCTATTTCTTTCCTTGATCTTAAGGTCTTCAGCCATTTGTTCGTTTTCCTTATCCATCTTTATCTTATCGTCTTTCCTCTTCTTTATTTCGTCATCAAAATTCGACTTGATATTTGATACAGCCTTTTCTGAACTATTTTGCGGTTTAATTGGTTGTTTCTTGTTCAGTGAATTGATGACTGATTTGGATGATTCGATAATCTTTTGTGCATTGACTTTGTCTTCAACTTCTTCTACGATGTTTTGTGGTTCAACGTCAATTAATTCGTCATCAGATCCCAAAACAATTGACCGGGATTTGACATCTTGGTATTTCTTCTGTGCTGTGTTAAAAGCTTTGGAACTTTGTTGTGATTTGGCTTCTAAGTTGTCTAAAGCGATGGATAAATCGTTTGGTAAATCACGTATCTTGAGATTTGACTCGAGAAGTTCTTCTGTTTCTTTGTTTTGTTTCTCGAGAAGCTCAAGTTTCTGGCTGAGTTCTTTGTTCTTTTGCTCTTTCTTCAAATTATTTTGTTTCTCTTCGTTTTGACGCTTCTTTTCTTCATTTTGAAGCTTTTCTTGGTTGATCTTCTGTTGCTTCTCTTCGTTCTGGCGTTTCTTGATTTCTTCTGCTTTCTTCTTCTCGAGTTCTTGTTTCTTCTGGTTCATCATTTGCTTTCTCTTGTTTTCTTCTTGTTGCTTCTTTTTGTTATCTAACTCTTCCTGGCGGCGCTTTTCTTCTTGAAGACGCGCGATTGCTTCTTGCTCTGCCTTCTTTTGTGCGAGTTCTTCCTCTTCTTTCATTCTCTTCTCTTCTTCTTCCCTGGCTTTCTTTGCTTGGGCCTCTTCTTGCTGCTTCTTCTTCAAATCTGCTGCCTTCTTCTTTCTATCTGCTTCTTCTTTGGCCTTTCTTTCTGCCTCTTCTTTGGCCTTTCTTTCTGCCTCTTCCTTAGCCTTCTTAGCAGCTTCCTCTTGTTGTCTCTTCTTTTCAGCTTCTTCCTTAGCCTTCTTTTCAGCTTCTTCCTTAGCCTTCTTAGCAGCTTCTTCCTTAGCCTTTCTATCTGCTTCTTCCTTAGCCTTCTTAGCAGCTTCTTCCTTAGCCTTTCTATCTGCTTCTTCCTTAGCCTTCTTAGCAGCTTCCTCTTGTTGTCTCTTCTTTTCAGCTTCTTCCTTAGCCTTCTTTTCAGCTTCTTCCTTAGCCTTCTTTTCAGCTTCTTCCTTAGCCTTCTTAGCAGCTTCTTCCTTAGCCTTTCTATCTGCTTCTTCTTTAGCCTTTCTATCTGCTTCTTCTTTGGCCTTTCTATCTGCTTCTTCCTTAGCCTTCTTAGCAGCTTCTTCCTTAGCCTTTCTATCTGCTTCTTCCTTAGCCTTCTTAGCAGCTTCCTCTTGTTGTCTCTTCTTTTCAGCTTCTTCCTTAGCCTTCTTTTCAGCTTCTTCTTTGGCCTTTCTATCTGCTTCTTCTTTAGCCTTTCTATCTGCTTCTTCTTTGGCCTTTCTATCTGCTTCTTCTTTGGCCTTCTTTTCAGCTTCTTCTCGTTGTCTCTTCTTTTCGGCAGCAGCTCCTTCTAATCTCTTCTTTTCCGCAGCTTCTTCTTCTAATCTCTTCTTTTCGGCTTCTTCTTGTTGTCTCTTCTTTTCAGCTTCTTCTAATCTCTTCTTTTCAGCAGCTTCTTCTTCTAATCTCTTCTTTTCCGCAGCTTCTTCTTCTTCTAATCTCTTCTTTTCAGCAGCTTCTTTAGCCTTCTTTTCGGCTTCTTCTTGTTGTCTCTTCTTTTCAGCTTCTTCTAATCTCTTCTTTTCAGCAGCTTCTTCTTCTAATCTCTTCTTTTCCGCAGCTTCTTCTTCTTCTAATCTCTTCTTTTCAGCAGCTTCTTTAGCCTTCTTTTCGGCTTCTTCTTGTTGTCTCTTCTTTTCGGCAGCAGCTTCTTCTTCTAATCTCTTCTTTTCCGCAGCTTCTTTAGCCTTCTTTTCAGCAGCTTCTTCTTCTAATCTCTTCTTTTCTGCTTCTTCTTCAGCTTCTTTGGCCTTCTTTTCTTCGACTTCCTTTACCTTTCTCTCGTTATCTCCTTCCTTGCTTTCATTGTGATCAGCTTTGACTGGTGATGCATATCTGTTTTGTTTCTCTTTTTGAAGTTGAAGAAATTGCATTTCCATCTCTTCTTCCTCTTTAAGTTTCCTTTCTCTTTCAAGATCGCGCTGGTCTTGTTTAGTCATCTTTTTCTCTTGCTCTATCTGTTTTTGGCTTTGAGGTTGTTTCTCCTCTTCTTCCTTAAGAATTCTTTCTTCAATCTGTTTCTCTTTCTTTTCACGTTTTTCTTTGGGAGACTTAGTAGGTGTGTCATGATTCTTCTTTGCCTTTGCTTCTTCTTTAGCCTTCCTTTTTTCATCTTGGTACTTTTGTTTTCTTTTCTCTTCTGCTGCTTTTTCTTCTCTTCTTCTTTGTTCTTCAGCCTCTTCCTCTGCTTTCTTTCTTTCTTCTTCTAATTTCTTCTTTCTCTCGGCTTCTTCCTCAGCCTTCTTCTCCTCTTCTTCTAATTTCTTTCTTTGGGCTTCTTCCTCAGCTAATTTTCTTTCTTCTTCTAATTTCTTTCTCGCGGCTTCTTCCTCAGCCTTCTTCTTTTCTTCTTCCTGCTTCTTTCTCTCTTCTTCTGCCTTCTTCTTTTGCTCTTCAATCCTCTTTTGTTCAGCTTCTTCCTCAGCTTTCTTCTTTTGAATTTCTTCTTCATTGGATTTTTCTTCTTTGGCAGGAGATAAGATCGTATTGCCTTTCTCCTTAAGAAGTTCGAGATACTCTTGTTCCATGAGCTCTTCTTCTTTGGCTCTCCTTTGTGCCTCGAGCTCGCGTTGACGGTTTTTATCCATCTTTGGACTTTGTTCAATTTCTTTCTGCTTTTGAGCCTGTTTCTCTTCTAATTCTCTTTGGATCTTTTCGGCACGGAGTCTTTCTTTTTCTTCCTTCTTTTCTTTAGGAGACTTTGATGGAGATGAATTTGACTTTTCCTTTGGAGTTGATTTTTCGGTATTCTTCTGCGGTGTCTTTGATTCCTTGATAGGTGTTTGATTCTCTGGCTTCAACGCTTCAGAGAGGTTTCCGGAATCACCTAATGTAGGAACATCAATTGGGAACTCATCTGCAGGGAGGCTCCTTTCGACAACTGATGATTGTTTTGAACGTGGTGAATTCTTTGCTGATGTTTGGTTTTTCTTCGAATTTGTTGGCGAAGATGGTGACTTCGGTGTCGAGTTTTGCTTGTTTTGATTCTTCGAAATTTGTTCAGGTGAAAGAATTGGTTTATTCTTATTGCTTTGAGGAGTTGAAATTTGATTTTCTTTAGATCCTGCAATACGAGCATTTTTAGTAGTATTAGGCTCATGATCTTTTTGCAATAATATTGATTTTTGCTTGTCTGCTGTCTTTGGTGTTGACTTAATATCCGTTTGATTTTCCTCTTCTTTAATGTATGAATTAACAAAGTTGAAAAAGTTTAAATTGACTAATGGCTTTGCTTGGAATATTTCTTTTGGTAATTTCAAGTACTTCGCTTCGATATCTTCGTAATTTGTCATCGAGATGATTTGAAAAAGTGACAAGATAAACAGACAATAGTTTGATTATTATTATCCAGCGATCACACTTAGTGAATTTACGTTGGCATATATGAGGCGATTCTAATAAATGTTTATTCCAAGTTTGATAAAAGCTTTCAAGATTTTGATCAATATTTTTCATGAAAATCTATATGAACTTATATGATAAAAAGGTCTTAAATAGGCAAAAATCAAACAATTTATTTTAAAATTCCTTTCACTTACAAAGATATGAAGCAATTCCGACAGCAAAAACGACAAGAGGATCAAACAATGGAGAAGCCTCGATAGACAGTACATTATCTTCCTTTTTAAGAACAATGATCCATTCTTTATCTTGAGTATCAACAATAACACAATTTTTGATACTCGACGTTGCGGAACGATTCTTAACACGTATCATCCACTTTCCATCAACAGCTATGTATGGCCTAGTGAAAAGTTCCTTCGGAATTCCATTTTCACTTTCGAAATTATATAATGACATCATTCTTGGTTTTTTCTCACTCTCGTGGAAGGCAAATATGATTGTGCAAACATCCTTTGCATATCTATCATGCCTCCTGAGTGAAAAACTCTTGTTATCATTGCCAATTAAAATTACTCCTTCGAAATTGTCGCCGCTAAAGTGACTTTCAGTACCTTTTGAGATTTGTATCTCTTCAGTGCCTGTTCTAGATTTAGTTTTAGCATGGAAAAGGGGTGATCCACTCTTTGTCAGCTGGAAATGAATTCTTTTTCCACGAATTGTAATTTTATTATCGATCTCGAACCTGTACATAGTTAAATTATTATCAGCCGGGGTGTATATTTGTTCATTAAGATTTTTAACCAATCTTGCAATTTCTTCTTCCTCATCAAAAACGTCATCATTGATTTTTTCTTCTTTTTTCTCCGAAACAGTAGTTTTTTGCTCTTGTTTAATTGGTTTGACCTCTTCATGTTCGCTTTCATCTTTTTCTTCATGATCTGATTGTTCTTTCTCTTGTTGAATTTCATTATGCGCTTCTTCCTCGGGATGTGTTTCTTCTTGAGTGGGATGTTGACGTTTTCTTTTAATTCTGATTCTTTTTGGCTTTTCTTCTTGTTCTTCTTCTTGGACAATTGGTTCATGATTTTCTTCGACAGTTCTTTTCTTCCTAATATTCCTAGTATTAACTGCATTTACATCAACTCTTTCCTTTGTTACACGAGTTGGTTTATCTTCGGGCTCCCTCCCCAATCTTCGTCTTCTAAAACCGCCATGTGCAGCATTTGATGGATGCGGAGGAGATATTTTTACATCGATAGGAACAGGCTCAATATTATCATGCGGATCATCTGAATCTTCAAATGTTACAGTGTATAAACTCATATTTTATGATAAAATTGTTAGAAATTTGAAACAGTTGTGATTTTTTTATTTTTCCTCTCAAACTGAGATCAAAATTTTCATGATAAAATATTACGGCAAAGTCAAGTGATTGGGCAAGTTAGACTTATTCTTCGATGACTCGTCCTGAAATCCTTCATGACCAATAATTTCAGACCAATTCAGAGTAATTTGAAGAATCGTTAATATACTTCAAAGTACATCAATAAATTATGCTTTAGTAGTTGGTTGTACTTCAATAAGCTGGTTCGATTAATTGATTTCAAATCTTATTGCAAAATCAGTTCAATTTCAATAAAAACAAGCGTGCCTTTCTAGATAATGAAAAATATGTAAATTTTATAATATGTCTTAAATTATTATTCGACCCAGCATCTGATTGGAGGTTGATCATGCTTGAACATGCACTGGTTGCACGAGACACATTTGATTGGCTTTCCTTCAATGAAGTTTTTAACCATTAAAGGATCTGCTATCGAAGGCCTTCCGAACGAAATCAAGTCAGCGCCTGCTTTGATAGCTTTGAGAATTGTGTTTTTGTTCCTGATGCCACCGACAACAGCAATCTTTGATTCTGTCTTATTTCTGATTAATTCAACATATTGGATGTTGTAACCAACTCTCTTCTCAAATCCTTTGACGAAAAAATCACGTGGACCACCGCGGATTGTTATTCTTGGATCCATTCCGCATGTCAACTCCCAGATGTCCATTCCTTTAATGTTGGAAACAGTTTCTGCCATATCTTCTGGCATGACGCCACCTTGGACACCATCAATAGAGTTTATTTTCGTTCCAATTATGAAATTATGGCCAACTTTTTTGCGAACGGCATCTGTAAGCTCTTGAAGAAAACGCCTTCTGTTCTCAGGAGAGCCTCCATATTTATCTTCTCTTTTGTTCATCAAAGGAGAAAGGAGCTGAGAAATGATGAATCCATGTCCTGCATGAAATTGGATTCCATCTGCTCCGATATTTTTCAACAACCTTGCTGAATTAACAATGTCTTCAATTATTTGATTCATTTTGGAGATAGGGAGATCAGTACCTCTGCAATCTGCAACTTGGAAAATGATTTTTGAATCTTTATTGTGTATGTAGTCAATTGTTGAGCGCCAAGCTTCTGCTTGCTTTTCATTCATCATTCCGCACATTGCATCTCCATATTTTCCATCTGGATTTGCATAAACAAAACCTGTAACTATGAGTCCGAACTTACCATCTGCAAGTTTTTTGTAGTAGTTTGTAAGATACTCGGTTGGAAGACCTCCATCGAGATTTGAATGCATTGCGCAAGGAGAGCGCATGAATCTATTAGGGATCTTTATCCCACTGATAGTGATAGGCTTTAATAATGCTTCCATCAGTTGCAAAAATGAAGAATGAAGTGAAAAAAAATTGATTTTTCTATCGTTATTTTTCAATGAAAATCGGAACAGTTTAATTCAATTTTATTACGCATTCTACTCAAAAAAATTTTCTGAAATGCATTAGAAATATATATAATATTAAATTTGATATGTTTATGTTCTGAATGTCGTCTTTTAATCCATAATTCAATTAATTGTGAACCTCAGAAAAATATTTTGATATCAAATGGGTGTCGGCGCAAATTTTTAAAATATTTAATTCGATATATTAGTAATCGATATTGATATTATGTACTGCAATATTATAAATATTTTTAATTTTTTTTTAATTTGAAATGAGCTTAAAAGAAAATGGAATATTATTTGAAACTACTCCTTTTAAGCAATGTACAAAAAATATTAACCATTTCATAATGATTTAAAGTTCATATTATGATTAAATGAATATTTATTTGAATATGATTTATAATTTATTACCAAGAATTAGCAAATCCATTAAAAGGTTATAAATCATATTAATTAACCCCTTATCATTTAAATCATTTGACAATACTATCAGGTGTTGCAGCAGGCTTATTTGAATTTGTATCCCAAGGTTCCCAATTATCTAGTTTGAGAACAGCTTTCTTAAAGGAAGATATCCATCGCTCCTCGTATGATTTATCATTGTTTCCGAATGGTCCAGCATTATAAAAACCAAGCGGCCTTGTTATTTTGTAACCGTTGGAGTTGAAGGCAAAGTAGACGGAATATAAAAATTGTTCCAAAGTTCCAGCTGAACTCTTTGTATAAAAATCGGGTCCTGTTGCAACAGAGATGACCATTGATACTGTAACGTTTGGACGCTGTATATCGGTGAGGACTCTCTCGATATAAGAATATAAACAAGCTGGGTATTTATAGCACCATATGGGACCGATAATCAATATATTAGTGCACCACATTATATTATCATGCTGGGCTGTAATATTTGTTACTAAGTTACCTTTTTTGTAGTTAGCAGGGTAGTCAAAATTTGCTGTTTTCTTTTGGATAAAGTCATCCATGGTCATGACTTTATCAAAACCTTCACTGATCAAGTCTACAACACGAACTTCATGGCCACATGAAGTTAATGATTCCTGAGCTGCATTTGCAATTCTGTATGCTGTTGCAATCTTTTGAGGATCAGCATGAGCAATCAGTATGAGAACTCTCATTTTAAATAATTGAAATGACTTCCTTAAAATTTGGACCCCTTTCAAAATTGAAATGGAATCGGAAATTGAGATAATTGAATTTTTTTTTCACTTCAAAATTATAAATCATGGAATGTCTCTATAATTAGATTCCAAATAAAATTTTCGCGCCGAATTTTTCAAAAATTGAGTGAAAAAGTCACATGAAAATTTCTAAATTTCATTCAATGCATGATCGAAAAAAAATATGAATTAAATGATGTATATGAATATAAAATACCACATTGAAACATGCATAGGCATGCGAATCGTGTAATTAAATGCCATGTATTTTTGGCGTAAATTTTCAATATTAATCATATCATATTTCAGCTTGTTGATCTCAAGCTATATTCTATGTACACTAGTTATCTTTGAAAGACTAGCATTGAGAACTACAATAAAACCAAATACCTTTTATTATACTTACAAAATCTCAAAGAATGAAAAAAAATAGAAAAATCTTCATTTATAGTCTTTCTTGAATGTATACGTTTTGATTTTTTTCTTTTTTAAAAAATTCAATTTCTAGAAAAATCGAGAAAAAATCATTTTCTTCTATTTTTTAGGACGCCATACCCATTGAAATCTCCTCTCAGGACGCCATAAACTATTCAATTATGGTGTAAACTTCTCAAAAATTGAATAGTTTACATCAGGGCGCCTTAGGACGCCAACCCTTTACGCGCCCGGCAAAATCAACTGAATGAAAATATTTTTGGATTAATTTCATTTGGATTTTTAATTTATGCCCTCTCGGTTATTGCTATTCACGCGATCTTTAAAATTAAGAAAATGAAATTCAGAGAGTTTATGTAAAGAATAAATAAAAACACACAGAATACATCAAACTCTTGCTAAGCCTTTCTAATCAAATAGCGGTTCGCTGAGTTAAAAAACGATGCTTTATTAAATGACAAAAATTCAATCAACGCAATTTTTTCCCATTCAAAATTGAATGAACGGTTGGTCATAACTCCATGAAATCGGACAGAATGCTAATTTTTACTCTATGTCAGTAACCGATTCAACTATCCGATTGTGTAAAAAATAATCTCCTATCAAATTTTTCTGATAAAAAAAATTGAATTGAAAATATAAATCATTAAAATATATCACTTAAGCTGATGCAAAAACCACTATCAGAAGAACAATTGCGTTACGAAAAGCATGGGCCACTACGTACTCTCTTACAACTTAGTGTGGGGCCTTTAATTTATTTTTTAGGTATAGCCATCCATGATGCTATTGATTTACTTTTAATTTCAAAAGCTTATGATGAAAGAGAGGTTCAAATTGTCGGTTTTGCTTCCACAGTCAGATATTTATGTATGGCGGCAAATATTTATTTTAGTATTGCATGCGTAGCACGCAACAGTGGACTTATTGCAGAAAACAGATATGAAGCTGCTGCCCAAGTTACTGCAGATCTTTATCGATTAGCATTTGTTTCAATGTTAGTAATCCCAATAATATGCTATTTTATTGCAAAGCCTTTACTTAAATATATTGGATGTCCAGATGACTCAATTCCAGATGCACAAAAATATTTAATCCCAGAATTAGCTTTTATGCCACTAATTTCGACATTTCAAATGTCATGTGGACTTTTACAATCAGAGGGCAGATCAGTACTTGCTGGAATTATGCAATTTACAGCATTTTTCCTCAATTGCGGATTTTTCGGTCCAATTTTGCTCTTTGGAGTAAAAGTCGCTTTCAAATATGCAGGATTTGCATTCGCATTATCTCAATCCGTGCCTGGACTTGTACTTACGTTTCTAATTTTTACACAAAAATTCAAATCGATTACATCTTGGAAAAATCTCATTAAAAAGCCGATTTACGAAACCTATGTTGGGTTGAAAATTGCATCTCCATACATATTAAATGTTATTATGGGACTTTTCCCTCCTTTAGTCGCAATTAACTTTCTCGTTACAGCGGCCTTTGCAACAGGTGTTGGAATACCATGTGGAAGAGCATTATCTGTTTTCTTCAAACTACAGCCAATTGCAAATTGCTTTTCAATTGCATTTGGTCAAGGTTTATTAGGTCCTGGATCGTATTCTTTCAGCCAAAAGAACAATAAGCGAGTAAGATCTCTTTTTTATTATGCACTTACTATCACATTAGTTCTTCAATTTATTTTTGTTCCAATTATTGTTTTTGCTCCTGTAAGTATCGCAAAAATATGGCTCCACGAAGAAGATACTCTTAACTATGCTAAGAAATTACTTCCAAAACCATTCTTTACAAACTGGACAACTGCGTGTAATGAGGTTGTTACTGCACTCTTGCAATGCATGGGATATGCCTGGGTTGCAATGGCTCCAAGTATAGTCAGAGGCATTTTTTATATAGTTTACTCATTAATCCTTTATTACACGAACAAATTTGATTCAATTAGGATGATTTACACATATTGCCTTAATGACACAACAATTCTTATTCTTGATATAATTATTGTCATCAAACCACTAATTCAACTCTATTCAGAGACAACATCGTTAGATGATTCTAAATCAGATAGTAAGAAAGATGACTCAACAACACCTACAGATATGGAGGATGAAGATGATAAGGAAATGATATGTGAGTCGCTTTAGAATTTCAATGATATTATTTTTATTTTTTGAATATTGGTATTTTCAATTTATTCTGTTTAAAAATATTATTTTCCAACCTTTGTTAAATATATTAGTAAACATTATATATGATAAAGAAATTATAATTAAATTATACCCTATATTTCCAACTCTTGGAAAATTTTCATGACCCTACCCAGGGTCCTAAAATGGGTATTTTCCTCACACAGACACCGTGGTTTTTTGAGCCGGGAAATAAATAGCGCAGACAGTTTCTACATATAGAGACATGCTTATACTTAGAGTTTGACGGGAATCTAAAGTGATTTTTTTCTGCATCGCGAAATCTAATGCAATCTCAAAATCATGAAGAAACTGCGAATCGGAGCGCAATTTTTTAATATGTTAATATATAAAGGTACCCCTACTACTGCAAATGCTTCAAATGAAAATCTAAGAAATCAGATTAATTTGATCACATTAGTATAGTATTGGTCAAACCAAAAACTCATATGTTGATATATAGCCTATGGATATTCATATTATCTACTTTTCATTGAATTACATAAGATTTAATAATCTCATAAATATTCTTTTTAATTTTCCGAATTCCGTGTGCATTTAGATTGCCTATACCTGTATATAATAATTCTAGAATGGTTTGGTTAGATATTAAGTTTTTTAGATTAATATTTTAACATTTTGATAAAACAAGCATTTGTTCCATTTTAGAATCGCCATTGAACTCTAGTTTGACTAACATGATGTTGTATGATCAAATAAATTCTAACTTCATGAGATAAATTTTGAAATTAGAAAATGCGATATCTGACTCAAATATTTATATGAACACATTTAACATTCAATGATAAACTAAAGTACTATACAGCAGATTCGATTTGGCTTATATTTTATATAATCAACTAATAATCCTATAAAATTGTGCTATTCACGTTGCTCAAAGATGTATTGAACATTCACTACTTGTGTATTGATAAAATTAGATATAGATTCTAATGTAAATCGATATTTTGAAAATTCATATATATTTTGTCTTGGTTTGGCATTTGATCGTGTTGAAACCGGAATTGCAATATATATCATCTAAATATATAACTATCAAAATATGAGCTATAGATTTTTAAATTATTCTCCTGAATATGAGTGACTAACATAATTATATTGAATTGAGTAGTAAGAATCTTAAATATTAGAATCTGACGATAATTTATTATAACTGTATAAAGGAACAAGACTATAAATGATGATGAAAATAAAGATTAAATTTAAATCTGAAAATTTGAAAACATTAAGTGTATTGTGCACTCTTGTCGGTCACAGTGTCTCATTCCGGGAGACATTGTCACTGCATGTCTCCCAGAATGATATCAAGTTCCCCATTCATAACTTGAATGCGGAACTTTGACCGACAAGAGTGTATTGTGCACTCTTGTCGGTTGAAAGTTCTGCAATCAGAAGAAGATTGTTGAACAATCCGCCATTCCAGGAGGCATGAGCTTGTTATCTCTCCTGAAATGGCACATATTTGATAATTCATGGAGCAGAACTTTGCACGCAATCAGACAAAAGATTGCGACAGAGTAACTGGGAAGACAGCAACTTGAAGCGATAAGCTGCTTGGGTGCTGTCTCCCAGATGCATCTGTCGGGCAAAGTCTCAAAGGAGCAGAACTTTGCACGCAATCAGACAAAAGATTGCGACAGAGTAACTGGGAAGACAGCAACTTGAAGCGAAGTTTTGTTTTCGAGTCTTTGGTTAAGAAATCTTAACAAAAAAACAAAGAAAAAAATCAGATAAAGTTGTCAATAACTTCATCAGTTAATGCTCACCTATGGGAGGTGTTTTGCGGGAGCTGGGGGTATCTTGGTGAGTACTCAGGAGGCCAAGAAGGGCACCCCAACCGACATTATCCTGATGAATTCAGTTGTCAACCATTCTGAAAACCGCCGAAACCGTCGTGTGTAGAGAAATTGTTTAAATTTATTTTTTTCAGATTTAAATAAAAATAAGAAATGTTTACTATTATGGATTTTGAAATTTTTTTAAATTAAGAGTAGGAGATGAGACAAATTTAAATTTTTAAGAAATATTTGGAAGGGCGTAAGATACGCCAACTTAAATATATTATCAAATGAGAGAAAATCACTCAACAAAAAAACAATTCTTTCAAAAAGTTTGACATTGATCTTTCTAATACATATTTTTGGAAGGGCGTAAGATACGCCAACTTAAATATATTATTAAATGAGAAAATCACTCAACAAAAAAACAATTCTTTCAAAAAGTTTAATTGATCTTTCTAATACATATTTTTGGAAAGGCGTAAGATACGCCACCTTAAATATATTATCAAATGAGAGAAAATCACTCAACAAAAAAACAATTCTTTCAAAAAGTTTAAAATTGATCTTTCTAATACATATCCTATGGAAGGAGTTTACATTCTCAAAATAAAAACCAGTTCAAAATCTTATTATTCCTTGAATAAAAATCATTTAATTTCAAATCCATTCCAAATCCTTAAATCTGTATTAAAATCATTTTGCCAACAACCAATACAATACAAATTACATTTCCATATATCTTCTTGTCCATTTTAATTTTTTATCTCATTTTATTTAATTTTATTTAAAGCATATAGACATCGAGATCCTTTACACATAGTTATATAAAAGTCAAATACATAATAAATTCTTAATTCTAGAGATATCTCAAAATCTCATTTTTTTAATTTAAAATACCTTTCATTTTTCACAGTACGATCACAACAAACAAGCCATTTACTAATTAACACATATAAGAAAAATATCAAATTACAAAACAACTTTCAATATCATTCGCATCAAATTCTATTTTTTCATAATTATCAACTACATGTTATTATATAATATATGTCGGCGCATATTCCACTCTATACAAGTGTCAGACACACTCACACAAAGCTGTGAGATTCATACCTCTATCAGTAGGACTTCTCAAATCAAGAACACATATGTTTCACTATCGCACATCTGTGTAGGATCTAATTAACCCTTTGGACTGGTACTTCAAAATTTGATAATTTGATAATTTCATGTGATATCATCATTTGCCTTTAAAACAACTGTGCGTTAAACTAGACACGTTTCTCTATCATAATGCAAAATATCAAAGTTTGGGAGATTCCCAAAGTGTCTGAAACTGATCATAAGGGTGAAAAACCGTTTTCCAGAAGTTGGGAACGTAGGGTATCTTATAAAAAAATATTTCATTCTTTATTATCTTTATAATATCTATAACAAATAAAATAAACATTTAGAATCACTTATTCTTTTGATTTTTTGGAGGTTGATTTTGATTATTTTGAGTTGGATTTTCATTCTTTTGAGGAGGATTTTGAGTTTTTGAAGATGTATTTTCATTCTTTTGAGTAGGATTTTGAGTCTTTTAAGGTTGATTTTGATTATTTGGAGATGAATTTTGAGTCTTTTGAGGAGGATTTTGATTCTTTTGAGGTGGATTTTCATTCTTTTGAGGTGGATTTTGAGTCTTTGGTAGTGGATTTTGATTCTTTGTAGGTGGATTTTGATTCTTTTGAGGTTGATTTTGATTCTTTTGAGGTTGATTTTGAGTCTTTGGTGGTGAATTTTGTTTTTTAGGAGGTGGATTTGGTTTTTTAGGAGGGTCAGCATATACTTTTGCGAAAACACACATATCATCATGATCGAAGCAGTTAAAATCTCCATCATTATGAAATGTTTTTTGGTACCAATGATAAATATTCTCAAGATTATCATCAACAAACTCTTGATTGAATTTTTCCAACAATGTTTTCTTTCCAGAAAACAAATTCACACCTAATCCAAGTCTATCTCCTTTAATCTTAATACCTGCAGCAGCCAAAATTGTTGGGAAAATATCATAATGACTGAAAACTCATCCAGTATTATTTTCTCTTTTTATTTGAGAATTAAGGGTGCGCCCGGGAGGATCATGTAAACTTCAGAATTTAGAACCTTAATTTTTAAGCAATAACTTGGTACCTAAATAGGTAGGAAAACTCTAAAAATATCAAAAAATACAACTTGGCTCCATAATAATCCTGTCATGGTGGCAGTTTGTATCCCCTAGTATTTTCCTCTTGAATCTCTTTTTCTGTCGAAATTAAATTCAAATCTCAGAAGTAGAAAGTGAATAATCGACTTATTGCTGCTATTATACGAATAAACAAATCCATTATATTATTATTTTTATTTACATAATATCTGTTTGAAGTTCATAATTCTATAAATTTTTCTTCAAAAACATTACAATCTTGATAGTTTTGATACTGTTTAATAGGTTTTTGGCACCTTATTTAGTAATTACAACGTATCGAGTCGATCTGAACTTAATTTTCGGAAATTTAAAATATTTATCATAAGTAAAATCTGATTTGAAATTTATGTTTAATTACTATATTTTGCATAATCCTAAGTAGCTTTTGTAAAAATTCATCAAAAAAAATTTTAACGTGCTTTAATTTTTTATTTTTTAAAATAATACATATTATTATATAACTAGAATATTTACAAATTTTACTGCTTTCAAAAATTTAATCCTCCTCCTCTCAAATAAACGTACATCCGGGGGCCTGTTTTTTGCAAAAAAATAAAATTTCATTTTTTTATGCTTAAAAAGTCAGAATTTTTATTTGCTTCTGGGATATATGATGGCTATATCAGACGCCCATTCTTTTTGATACTCAACATTAAACATAAAACTTAGCCGTTAAGGCTCTTCTGAAAATATTTTTTTTTCGAAAAATTTGCGAAAAAAATCAAAAAATTTAAAAATCCCCGAATCTGCAGGGATTTTAAAAAATTCTTTTTAGTAAAACTTAAGGATATTGTATCAGATATATTGGTATGGGCAAATTCAATTTTAATACAATATTCATCGAGATATTGCGCTAACGAAGCGTTCAAAATTGAGAGGGTAATCCTCCTACTCTCAAATAAACGTACATGCGGGTGCACCCTTAATAAACAAATTAAAAATCCTTCTCGAATAATTATTTTTCTTAGCCAAATCTTCTACTTCTTTGTCTCTTCTCACATGGTCACCGTGCATTACAATCAAAGTATCATTGTACCATGGTTTCGTCTTCATCCAGTCAAGAAAATCTTTTATTTGGTTACTCAAACAAGTAAAGAGTCTTTGGGATTTCGGACCTGTTTTAGGACATAATTTACATAAACTGCCTGGTTCATGCGTATCTCTTGTTGATACATATAATAAAAATGGTTTATTTGGATTTTCTTTGTAAATCTTGTCAATTAAATCTTTTTGGTACTGGAAAAGTATATGATCAGCAACAAACCATCTTTTATTAGCCAAATTAACACTACTGTGGCAATGATCAAAGCCATGATGCTTATAAACATATCCAATACTCCAATCTTCATCAAAAGTGCCGTAAATGGCATGAGTATCATATCCATTGCTCTTTAAAATATCTCCTATGCATTGCATTTGACTGTAATAGTATATACTTGTGTTTTCTCCCCTGTTTTGGGCTTTTTTACTTTGCCATTTGAATGGAAAACCACATTGCATAGCAAAATTACCACTGACAGTGAATCTGTTACGAAACACTTGTGTTGTACCACCAAGTTTGTCATTTTCGGTGGAATTTGAAAAACGCACGTTATTTGGATCTAAAGCAAGGTTTTCTATGTATGGAGAATAGCTAGTCTTCATTAGACCGCCGTGTTCTTGTGATAAAAAGCTTGTTTCGAAGGATTCTAAACTGAAGAAAATTATATTTTTCTTTTTTTCTGGGAAAACTAAGTTTTCTGAACTTGGAAACACGTAATTATATTCATAGAAGTTCAAACTTGGTGATCCTGTGGTTTTTATTGTAGAATAAAATGCAATTACGACAAATAAAATATTGATGTACGTGAGTACGCGATAATCCAAATATACTTTAATGTTTGTATGCTTAATACTTAGTACACTTCTGGAGAACTTGTAAAATGCGTAAAAATGTAAAGAGACGGAATTATTAAAGTTATGAAAAATTTTGTTGGAAATGAATGTAAAAATTCTTTGTCAATACCTTTCTCTTGTTGAAGGATCAGTCCTTTCAATTCTTCATAGTAAATTGGACCTGAATTATCGTAAATATTTTTAATATAAGCGACTGCTAATGAAGATAGTATGCAGACAACAAATGATTCAACCATATTGAGATAGTATATTCGCCAGTACTTTTTAGTGACTATAGAGAACAATGGTGTTTTGATTTCTGCAAAAACTTCAGTAAAGGCAATTAAAGCTATTGGAATTATAAATTTTATTGATAGTGACTTTATTGCTGTAGATAATGTTCCGATTTCTAAAAAGATGATCACCCAAAAGCAAAATATACTAATTTGAAAAGCATATTTTATAGATTTGAGTGGTTCAACTCGATATATGATAGTTGAATAGCTAAAACTTAATACCCATACTGCCAAAAAATAAAGAAATACCATAAAAATATCATTCATTAAATTTTGCGTCAATATTTTCTGAAGTTTACGGATCCATTAGAAATGAAATTTAGTCATTTTCAAGCAATAAACATTGTTCAAGCATTTCATCAGAAAAGTCCGATCAATCAAATTTTGAAAAGTTTACATTATAATTGTCAGAAAATTTACAATTGTAAAACATTAAGAAATTTACCAAATAAAACAAATGAAAAAGATAGAACTAAACAGAGTTATTTATTGTTACCGCGCATCAACGATTCACTAATCTTCTTCTTTTGTATTTCCTCCTCTCTCTTCTGTACAAGAGCTTGATAAGCTGGGAGGTTCTTTATCTCCTTCAAGAAGTTAGTTCTGACGAGTTTCAAGACCTCTCTGTATGCGTTATTGAACATATCTGTCGTTGGATTGTCCATTCTCGACTCGATATCGTTTCTCATTGCGGCAGAAATGTTTACTTGAAGCGGAGCATCTTTGGAGATATGTTTTACGTATATTTCTTGGGATTTGACTTTCTTTAACTGAGTATTTTGATCATTAATTTCCTTAAACTCGAGAACAGCCTTAAGGAATGGCGGCATCTCTTGAGCTGACTTCTGTATAAGTACTTGCATGACAAGTTCGTAGCCTTCTGGGTCCATAATGATCTGTTCTGGAGTATCTAGGATTTTTTCTGGAGTTTGGGGCTCAGGAGGAGCGCGATATGTCAAAGCAATAGATGTAACAACCGATGTGAAGTAGCCAGAGATAATAAACGCGAACATACAACAATTACTGTAAAATTGCTCAGAATTTGTCATTGATAATGCAAGATATGGACCTAAAGTTAATATCCATGTAACAAAACATGTGATTAACTCGTATTTAATGTGATATGGATCCGGAAAATGCTTCATAAAGAATAACCCGACACCTACAATTATCAAACATAAGCCAAAGAGAACGAGCAGAATAACTGATGTAATTTCTTGAATTTTGCAACCAAAAGTAGTCATATAATCTGATAAAATCGTATGTTGAAGAATCGCTGCTGAGAGCATTGTCAAAGAAATAACGATTCCTAAAATAGATACCCATGTAGATTCCATAACCCATATGCTAGCACGGGGGTCTGATATCTTGTTCTCTTGCCATCTCTTTAATTCCCTCATAGTAAAGAAATATCGCATAAATCTTAATACAAATGGGAAGAAGAACAATGGAAAGAATAAAAGAATGTACCATAAATCTAAAATGCATGGATAATGTTGATGAGATAAAATAATATCGAGTGTTGTGCATAGCAAAGCAAATTCTGATCCTATTGCGCTGAGAATAACAAGTGTAGGTGATCGCATTTGAATTTCGGTTTCATTTTTTCGGCATAAAAACCAAATTAATCCGCCAAGCCAGATAATTGACCAACTTCCAAAGGCATAGAGGAAAAACATTTGCAATGGCTCAATGGACTCTTTATCAAAAAGCTTTGCGCTCTTCGGTATAAAGTTCCATTGGGTATCTGCAATTTCAGGCATTTTCTGAGAAAAAAAAATTTCAAATAAATTCATAAATCAAGGTACTGTGAGTGGATCGAAGTTATTTAGCAGCAAAATTTCCGCTTTCATGAATTCATACATTTCCAATCCTGAGAATATGATGGAGTTTCGGTATGAATCACAAAGATGAAATCAATTTTGCCTAAATTATGCGCAATTAATATGTGTTTTAGGTAAATAAAGAATTTAAAGTTTGAATCATGCTTTACTGTCGTATGAAATTGTTAAGTATATGGTATTTTTCAATAGAATCTTGAAATTTACAAATTTTTAATGGTCACCTAATCAAATAGATATAATTTTTGAGAAATGCATCAGTAAGATTATATAAGACATAATAGCTATTACTTACTAATTGATAAAACTGGGATATTTTTTATTAATTTTCAAAAGATAGTTGTTATCTCGCATAAAAACGTAGTTAAGTTACTTTTACAATAGGAAATGAATTATAAACAGTTATTTATATATTAACAAAATCAAAAAAGATACAATCATGAATTATCTTGACTCACTAGGATATTCTGACTTAGTTACATGGGAACTAATGGAATATAAGTCAATTATAATTAAAGCGGAAGAGATCCTTCATTAAATTTGAAGAAGGAAGATGTAAAGAAGAAAAATAGGTCACACATAAATAAGAAGATGGACACAGAGGAAACAAAGTCGAACCACATTGAAACTTGTTCAGTTTGGAAAGAATAAAAAATTCCTGCAATAGATCTCATAATTTGTGAGAGAGCGTAAATTACTATAAATGGCCATCCTAAATTGGAAATTTTAGATGATGATTTTGTAATATGTGATTGCGATGCGACTGCAAAAGCTTCAAACCAAAATGAAAGCTCATGGAGTGTCATAAATCCAAAAATAGAAAGTAAAAACATGACAATTGAAAATCCAAAATAGTAAGTCATGTAAATTTGTTCCTTAAATTTATTAGATCTTGGCTGAAGTGTAAATTGACGATACATTAGGTAACCTATTGGTATAACTTTGATAAGTCCTGTTATAATTGCTAAATAATTTGTGATATTTCCAAGTATCGAAAATGTCGCCGAACAAGCGCCAAATAATGACCAATAAAATGAAAGACCGAATGTTACTTTTGATTTGTAAACTTTCTGTATAACTAAAAGAATTGCAACTCCATCAAGAACATTCGAGATCAATTCAAGTGGGAGCATTTTGTTTTATAAATGAATTTATAGCGCACATGTTATAAAAATAGATTATACATCAGAGATTCTCATGATTTATCGAATATCATGTTAATTTTGGATAAAATTATTTTGTTTATTCAAATTTATGGATATTTTTAACGAGAGATAATTTTGTTTTCAAAAAACAAAGCTAAATATTAAAGAATTTATAAATACTAGAAAATTTCCAATAAAAATACGTTTAGAAAGCGTGCAAGAAGAGAATGGAAGTCTTTCGAAATAGGCTCATTAGTGAATACACTCGTGATGAGCTAGAGGAACTATTTCTTGTTCGCTGCGATCAACTCGATCAAAAAGCGAGTGAAATAGCAAAATTAGAGCAAAAAGCTTCAGATATTTCTGGAAAACTCACAAGAATCAAACAAGATATCAATGACACAACAAAACAAAGAGTAAAATTTGATGGCAAATTAGCGCCTACAGCTTATAGAGTTTCACAAGTTGCTGTTAAAGAATTAAAAGATCAAATCGCAGAATTAGAAATAGAACTTGGCAAAAAGAATCTTGAAAAAGATGCTGTTGCCAGAGAAGTCGCATATTTCAAATCTTTACTTAACTTCCCTGCAAAACTTCGCACAGATAAAAGTTCTAAATTTAATCCAACTAAAACAATCGAAGACCTTCTCGCAATGTTGGCGGATTTAAGTAGTAGAAATACTGATCCACTTGTTGTTAATAGATTACTCGCAGCATCTTATATTTTACAAAATAATTTGAAAGCTGCTGAAGAACCAATGAGAAAGATTCTCGAACTTATTGGAGAATCTTCTCTTCCTGTATTTGAAAGTATTGATATGCGCAAAGAAATTAAAGAACGTGAAGATCAAATTGAAAAACTTAGACATGACTTAGCAGTTCTACAAGCTCAGCAAGACAAGCTTAGCCAAGAGCATAATGATCGTCTTAAACAATACCAACTCGATGCCGAACGTAACCAAGAGAAATACAGAGAATTAATGGATTTGCATCATAAGAAAGAGAAAATGGAAGCTGATGCTGCTCGTTTAGCTGAACTGGAAATTATTGCTGATGGTCTTAGGAAAGAAATCGAGCTTCTTAAACAACAAAGAGACAAACTTATTGAAGATAATGCAGATCGTAAGAATAAACTTCGAGATGAACTCCAGAAACTCATTGATCAGATGCAGAAGGAACTTGAAGACCTCAAAGCTCATATAGATGCTTTGCGAAAGTCAAATGCTGAAATTGAAAACCAAAAGAATTCATTGCAGCAGACTTATGAGAATGCTTTAGAAAAGCGTGCAGATACTATCGATGGATTGAATAAGTTACAAGAAGAATACAGAGCTCTTCGTGCAAGATTTGTTAAATTAATGTCGGGAACTAACGAAGATCCATTTGAAAACCAGAGATTTATTGATTTCATTAATGGTATGATCGAACGCAATTGGTCATTTAACACAGTTCGTAAATATTTGGCTCATATCGAATCTATTGATGGAAAACTCGAACAACTTGACGCCAAAATTGCTAAATACCAGCCAATTAAAGAACAACTTACTAAGCAGATTGCTGATAAGACACGCCTTGTCAAGGAACTTGAAGCTGAACTTGATGCAAGACACATCTCACACGCAGGAGCTGTTGCTGAAGCCCAAAGAACAGAATTTAAGTATCAGAATGGTGCAAGTCATATTAATATCACTGCAGCCAAACAATTCGAGCTTGAAGAAAATCAAACCGCAATTATTTTGTCATTCCTCGAATTTACACTTGACAAATCATTCTTAGGATCTCAGAATTGCAAGCTCTTCTTAACAGTCGACTTTTACGACTGTAAACAAGAGCAAACAAATTTCATCGACAAATTCGATACAACATTTAACACAGATTTACTTTTCAAGGTTAAGAATGATTTCATTCTTCGTGACTATCTTAAAGACACAAAGATTCCTGTTAAACTTTGGAAAGCAACAGGAATGAAGTTTACTGAGGTTGCAAACACAACAATTGCTATGTTCCCATTTTTGGATGGTGTTCCAAGCTTTTCTGCATCATCTGTTCTCATGGATAAAAATGAGAAACCTGTTGGTAACATCAATTATGAAGCTCAGATTTATATTCCTTTGCTTCAATAGATTATTTCCTTGTTGTTTTTATATATTGTTAAAAATTATGTTTTTAATTATAACAAAATATCAATTTTTCTTGTTCTGTTTATATGCAATATGCTTTATACAAATAGATCTTTTTATTATTACTTTTTGCTATAATTTCATCAGCTGTTTCTCCGATTATACTTTGAACTGTGCTATCCACGCCATGTGAAATAAGAAATTTGGTTGTTTCTTTATTGTTATTATCTGCCGTAATAGGAAGAGCTGCTCCTCGAATATCAACAGCTGCATTAACATCTGCTCTAAATGAAATAAGAAGTTCATCAATTTCTATACTTTCTACTACTGAATCATGAAGAGCCGTTCCTTCACCTTTATCTTTTGCATTGATATTTGCACCACATGCAAGAAGAAACTCAATCATTTCTTCACTATTAAAAGTTCTACTGCAAAGAATTTTTGGCTTGCATGAAACGTTATCCAGATTCCTGAGCTTAAAATGTTATATTGTAAAATCTGCATTGACATGAACTCAAAGACCGATTTTTGAGTGTTGTGTGCTTAATGCAACCCAAAGAAATCGATCAGGAACTTGAAATATGCAGAACACGTAATGAAAAGACAGTTATGCTTGTTTCTGAATGGCAAAACAGAGTAGCTAGAAACAGACTTGATAGACAAACACGCCTTCAAAAAGAAAAAGAAGCCGAAGAACAGAGAAAAATATTATTCGACGAAGAAAAAATGAATTCCAAAAACTCAAAAAACAAGCGACATTAGAGGAAGCCAGGAAAAAGGATTCTTACAGCGCTCAGAAGTTTGTGCAGTTAATACCCAACTTCTCCTTCATGGAGCGCCAAGCACAAGAAACGTTTGCAGAGCGACGTAAGATTATGGAAATGCAATACCAAATCGAGAAAGATGAGATAGCAAGAACTAATTCGCAAGAATTACAAAATAGTTCGAAAATTGAAAACCACTCCACTTGTTCAATTTTCGCCCTATTTTGTTAAAATTGGGATATAAAGCTTGGATGTCAAAAAAATTGAGAGCATGTCAGAAAGTAGTAAGTGCACCTTTAAGCATCATTATTTTAATTGAGCCAATTCGTGATCACAGTAATGATGTTCACAGAATTTTGATACCATTTAAGGGCACTTTTACGCCTATATGACAAGAACTTCACACCCTTTGTCAGAAATTTGGATTAAAGTGAAATGGGCGCTTGTGAGCTCTTAAAAATCGACAAATTAATCAAAAGGATAATTGTTCAGAAATATCATCTCATTGTTCAAAGTTCAGTAAACTCAGAATTATTTCATATGGATAAACTCATAACATAGGATGATAGAAATTATTTCAAAATAGATGAGGTTATCAATAATCCAGATATATAGTAAAACCCTCATATAAAAACAAAAAATCTGGGCAAAAAAAAGTCTAAATAACTATTTTTGATAATTTTTAGGTTGCAAAAGCTTCTGCAATGCTTTGTTCGAAACTGGAACTTGATATGCAATTAGAAAGAGTAATGAGAGCTTTAACACAGTTAAATTTACCATCTTCAGCATTGATATACTTACAACAGCATTCACTTGAAAGATAAACAGAGAAAATGTTTTCAAACTCTTGTGTTGATGATAATTCTGTGTTTATACTAGTTGTGGATCCGCTTGTTTCAATGAAACTGTGTATTATATGAATTGTATAAGGACTATACGAAGAAAATGTGTTTTTTGCTGAATTGTTTTTAATGATGCATTCTTTTATAGTTAAATCATGATTAACTGTATAAAATAATTGATCTGATACTGAATTATTCAAAAAATTGGTTTTGATATATGAAAATGATTCATATCCAGTAAAATAAATGCAATTTTTAGATGTTGCTGAATTGTTTGTGAATGATGATTGTGAAATATTTCCTGGAAAACGTGGTAATTCAATTAAAATTCCGCAATATTGGTTAGTTCTACAATTTGATAAGTTTGTATTATGAATTATAACTTCTCCTCTATTATGACAAATTGGTGAAAATCCAACTCCTGTTTGACCTAAATCGGAATATGAAGAAAGATAGTTATAATTTTTGAATGGATCAGTTTCTGCATCAATCCATATATAGCAATGTTGTCCAAAATTACTTGAAGAACAGTTAGAAGAACATGTTTTGTTTTGAACAAAATCTACTTTGGAATAAATAAAGAGATTTCCACCACATCCATCATAATAATTAGAAGTTTCGGAATAACCTATATGATTTGAATGGAATAATGATGATTCGATAAGTATTTTAATGTTTGATACATCTGAATTAGAGAAATCGATGAATCTCGAATTTTGTGTAGATGTTATTTCAACAATGTAATAACTATGGGAGCTTGAAAAGCTTCCTGAATAGTAACTATCGTTTTGTTCCGAATAAAATTCATCCCAATTTAGATCGAATTTCAAATTCATCAATTTTTTTGTTTGTAACTAAATATGTGCATGGATTAAGTGTTTTATAGCGATACATAGATTTTGGAGCAAATTCTTGGATTGTAAAACGCACTTTTCCGATTTGAGAACAAATTATGGGTTTATATGGATCTTTAAGCACGATTACGATCAGTATTATTGTGTCTAGTTAAGTTGGGGATATCTGATTTGCTTGAAAAGATTTTTGTCGCGTGAAAGAGACTAAATTTGAAATGAAAATAAAAAAGTGACAAAAAATTATGAAGAAATCTAAGGAAAAATATTATAGAGAATTTTTATTTAGATGATTGTGTACCAATGATTGATGTTTTATTTGAAGATTCTATAATGTTCAGCGCACCATCAATTCCAAAACGAAATTCTTTAGTTAATATTTTGCATTTTAAGATCTTAAGAAGTATTGTTCTTATACAATGTGTGCAGTTAAGTCAATGTTTCATTTTCTCGAAAATAAATATTGGGAATTTGCTCAAGAATATCTCAAAAAGATATTATTGATTCTATCTTTTATTATTAGATGTTATTCATCCGTAAGTATTTCATTCGTCACTTATCATTGGAAATCTAGAAAGATATTCTTGTTTTGAAAATGAATCAATAAAGAAAAGATGAAATTCTCTAAGGCATACAGATAATATTGTTTAATCAAAGGATTCATTGTTAAGAGAGTTAAATTCTGATATATTTATTGATAAGTAAAGTATATATATATATCTTTTGAATAATATATATATTAAACTTGTTTAATACTCTATGATTTCGTAAAATTTTTCTTAAATTATCTTTGATATTCCTTGTAATTTAGAATTTAAAAATTATTTTCATTTCCTACTTTGATGAAAGAGATTTAGGTTTAATATTAGTTATTAACTCATAAAAAGTATTTAGTCAATATAATTAATTCATTATAATAAAAGATGATCTTGAAACAATAACTCCAGAGCGCTGTGATAAAACATGGCCAAGGTCTGTTAAGTTTTTCGATCCTCGGACATATATCCAGGCTTCTTCGGTTGTTTTGTCATATCCGATGATTATTCCTGATGTTCCTTCTTTAGCAATTGATCTGTTATCTGTAATTACAACTGTATCACCGAGTTTTGGCTCATTGTGGAGTTCAAATCCTGTGTATTGAATTTTCTTGTGTTCGAATTTCAATTTTGAATTCTTTTCCAACCATTCGACATCTGTTTTTGAATATGTTTTCAAACTTAAAAGATAAACTGGTGGGAGCTCATCGTGCCTCGTATCACTCACAATTTCATAATTCTCCTCTAGATATCGTACATCTTGTTCTGTAAGTTCTTTATCTCTTAAATAGCATGATTTTGGGACATGTCGTATATACAAATCAATATATTTCTCTATCTTGTTCTTGTCAACATATATTTGTTTGTCATAAAATGACAAGTAAAAAGGAGTGCAACATCCAAATGAACACAGTCCAAGATCTGCCCAAATATATCGAAAATCTATATCACGCCATTTAACTTCTCGGAATAAATATGAAAGACATCGAAAGCTTTCCCAGTTTTTATTTCTTGGACGAGTTAAAAGAACATCTGCTTCATATTCTTTAGGCATGATTTTCATGTTTTCTGCTGATGGATCAATTGTTAAACTCCATGGATAAATGAATTCTTTTCTAACTTCGAAATTAGTTTGTGGATCAATTGGCAATAAAGAAACAAACTTTTCATCATCATCCAATTTAATATTAATTTTATAATCATTTGGTTTCTCAACAATATCCATAACAATGCAAATAGTTCTATATGGCCATTGAGCAAGAACTCTTTTATTGAGGAAATCTTTTGGATCACCTAATCTTTTTCCTGATTTAACAACAGCATCATGAAAAATACTACTATATTGCTTGTTTTGAACAATTTTCTTTTCAAGAGAAATTTCAAATGGATTAAAAGAAGGAACATCATTTGGTAATTCTGTTAATAAATTAACAGATGGGAAAGGTTCATGACAATTCAAAGGAATTTCTTCTTTAGTTTTCATGTCAATTGAATTCTCTGGTTTTATAAGAAATTCATATTCTGATGTAATTCTGTCCAAATATGGAGCTAATGATTGTTTGATACGATCCAAATTTGGAATTTCAATTGAAAATTGTCCATTCGTTTCATCTCTTTCTACAGGGTGACCTAAAAATAATTTGATATATTCGTCATTATTCCTTACATCATCAAATAATTGCTTAATTTCTTTCATCGGCTGATATGGTGTAATTATGTCTTGATATAACAAATTCATTGGTTCATCAAGAACTAATTCTGATTTGAATGTATCTATGTAATCTATAACTACACATAAAGGAGGTGCGAAATGATATTTGTATATCCATGACCATGATGGAATTCCTGATGAATATTCCTTGTATGTGAATAAGATACTATCAATCAAACAATGTGAAATCTTTTCTGTTTCTTCAGGAGTTGTTTTTCTTTTTGAAAAATATTCGTCTTTTTTAGATTTAATATATGATTCAAAATCAAGATGATTCTCTTCGATTTTGGTTGTATTATCATTCTGATTTTCTGATGTTTTGTTTTGCTGTTGATTTTGAATCTCTTGGAGATAATTTCTTTCCATGAATTTCATAATGAAAATCTTGAGTTTTTCCAAATTGACGTTATCTTTCTCTGTAATAAATATGCATGAAGGTTCTGATTTATATGTTTCAATAAGGTCATCAATAGAAATTTTAGATAAATCAGAATCGAATTTTGGGCGATAATCATTGGAATATAAATTGACGAGAAGAACAAAATCATCGAAAATTCTTTCATCATTGATTCCAAAATCATGAAAAAGGTATTCTCGAAGTAAGTTGATATTTATAACATCAACACTTCCTGCACTGAAAGAAATATAAGGCTCTAACATTCCGTTCTTAATTTTGTTTTGGTATATATCGTTATAAATGTCAATGTTTGGAATATGTGATCTCAAAGACATCAGGATTAAATCAGAATCATTTGTCACGATACAATGGCGTTTATTTGGATCCCATTCTGGTTTGTGTATTTCTTGACGAAGAAAATCAAAGATCTTCGTTTCAGCTTCACCTGGAACTTTTGAACCTGAAAATATGACCCTTGGCTTCTGCCAATATTCATCAAAATTAATAAGTTCTTCAATCCATCTCTTTAGGTCATCTTCAAATATCTGATTCCATGCTTCGATTGGCATTGATTTATCAGCATATCTTCTTCTTAATACTGTATATTGTTTTGCATTAGAAAATGGACCATCAAAAGCGATAAAAATTAAATCTGATGGCTGTACGAGATGCACAATATTATTGAACAACTGGCGGACATTTGCTGTACGCAACTCTGTCTGAACTCCAGAACGAATTCCTTTAACAATTAATAATGAAGCGTCAATGAATAAACAATTGTATTTAGGATATGGTATTTCAGATAGACTCTTTAAAATTAATGGATATCGATTAGTAAGTTGTCCTCTAAAAGTATAGATACCCATTTAAAAAAAATTATAAGACATTTCACTTCACGTATGAAATTGATAAGACACTTTATATGAGAAATTGATAAGACACTTTATATGAAATCCATAATCCATCAATTATTAATATTTTCCTCTTCGATATATGAAGGGAAGACGATTTGTATGTGGATAAAAAAGGTTCTGAATTGTTTACTGGTAGAAAATCCTAGAATTGAATATGAATATATTCGAAAGTTTAAGCTTGTGTCCGATATATATATATTATGAAATTGGAATAGTTTCCAATGAATATCCTAATGTAAATCTATTTGGATTTTATAAGATGCCACATAAAAAAAGCTTTTATGTCTGCACTTATCGGGTATTTCACAACCTTCATAAATAAAAGTCAGATAGACATGTGTGTATCATTAAATATTAATGTGAAAATAAACAATATTTTATTAACATGTATCAATCCAAAAAACAAATAAAAAAATGTTTTGAATAACATTAAATTAAATATAACCAAACATGGTGATAAAACTGAGAGCTCTTTCATCATAGCTGTGAACAAAATTAGCGACCAAGGCTCTCAGTTTTCGGTTTCTCGACATTAAGGTATCTTATCAATAAGTTCTCATGTTATGCGAAAAATGAAAAGAAGACACTTTAGAAATCATCATTATCAAGATGATTCAAAATTAGTTGTTTCATTTCTTTGGTTATGTTAGGACCAATAAAACGTTTTGAAACAAAAGCTCCTTTATCTAAAAGAAAAGATGCAATGGATAAATCATTATTATCAACTGCAATTTGAAGTTGAGATTTCCTTTCTTTGTTTTCGATGTCAATTAAACATTTCTTATTAAACAGAAGCTTAACTATATCAAGAGATCTGGAATAGACTGCATAATGAAGTGGAGTGGAACCTCTTTCATCTTTATGGTTAATATCAACTCTCGAATTTTCGAGAATTACCTTAGCACATTCGATATTTTTGTTGATACAACAAGAATTCAAAGGGAAAATTCCATATTCATCAACTTCATTTTCATCTACGCCATTTTCAAGTAAGAAGAGTGTTATATCTGGTCTTATTCCACATACAAATGTTAGTGGAGTAGATCCATTCATTGTTAAGTCAATCTTTTTAATTTTCAAGAAATAATTCAAACAAAAAGTATTAAAAGAATGATAAACCTCAAAGAAATTAAGTAAGTCATAGTTATAATTCTCTGATATCCAATATGCTATGTCATTATTGTGTGATTGTATTGCTTTCATCAAGCATTGTGAAAAATCTGATCCTTTTTGTTGAGAAATTCTAACAATTTCGTAATTTCCGCCCATTACAGAATATTTAGCAGTTTTGTTTGTTAATTTGATATCATTCATTACAAGATACTTAAAGGTATTGGATGATCCATAGAATGCGCTTATATCAAGCATCGTCATTTCTTTATCACGCAATTTAAAATTAACAGAAAAGTCAAGATTATTTTCTGACAACTTTTCAATCAATTTATCTAAATCATCATTTCTTATGTAATAAGGAATTGTATCCTTTTCAAACTCTTCCTCGATAAGCACTTCGTCTATATTTGCATATTGATAGCATCTTGGTCTTCTCTGTGTTATGATCTTCTCTTTGATTAAAAACTCGGAGAATCTTCCTGTTTTTACTTTTATTGTTTCATAATTTGGCAAACTTCGGATCAATTTAACAAGACTCTTCCAAGAAAAAGGTCTGATGTCAGCTACATAGCATACAAGTGAAAAAATGTACTCCATTTCGTTTGAAAATTTTTGCAGAATGTAATTTGCTAAAAACTCAACTTTTGAATCTGTTATGGAGCATATCTCATTTTCTATGTAAGAGTATTTTCTGATATCTTCATCGTACTTATCAAATAAACTTTCATCAAATGAAATCTCATCAACCATTGAAAAAAATTAAAAAGTGACAAAATTTTAGAACAAAATCAAAAAAATGGATCCAAATATTGCTACTTTTCTAGTAGAATATTATGAAACACTACATAATAACTCAAGAGAAGTCAATAATGTCTACGTTGATGGTGCTCGTCTCATTATTTTCCAAGGAATTGACCAGCCAAAAGCTTTTGTATCCGACTACGCAAAATACATCCCAATTGGTAAGAGAAAAATACTTAAATACTCAGGAAGTACAATTGGTTCACGTCTTTTCGTTCATGTTCAAAGCGAAATTGAGCAGCCATATAATAAACTCATTGTTGACGAATCATTCTCATGCGTACTATCTGATGTTTCTATCATGATTTCATACCATTCCATACATATAAATCCATTACTTGAGCCAATTGCAGTTCTTCCACCGCCAAAACCAAAGATTATTACTGTTGTAAAGCCAAAACCTGTTGAGGTCAAGCCAGCAGTTGAAGTAGAATTGCCTCAAGCTCTCAATACAAAGAATAGTGTAATCGTTCAAAATCTTCCATTCAACAAGCCACCAGCCGAATTTATACCAATACTAGAAAAGTTTGGACATGTTTCCAAATTCTGCCAAGCAAAAGGAAAGTTAATGGCAGAATTTTCTAATATCGACGACATGTTCAAGGCAAGAGATGCAGTATATAAGGATTGGAACGGTAGAACACCAAAAGTGTTCCGTTGTCCACGTGAATATAAGTGGCCGTAAAAATTAATTTTAATTTAAATAATATTTTTGTTTTCATTCTTAATCACATATTTTAATTACATATAATTTAAAATATTTATCTGATTTCTTTGAATAATTTTATGTAACGTGGGTGATTTTTGTCGGCAAATGCCATGTAAAGTTGTCTCAAATATTTTAGGGTAAATGCACCGGCAACCCCTGGGAAATAATTGAGAATAAATTACATGGTATTTGCCGGCAAATGCCATGTAAAACTCTTAAAAGTTCAACCCCTTACGGCTGGGTGAAAAATAGATTGAAAGGGCAATCAGAAGGTGATATTACTTGGCAACATATAAAAGAAATAAATCGAAACAATTAAAACTCATTAACAGTTTTTCAGAAGAATCGACTCAAAATTTCAAATTAAATGCTCAAAATTATTTCATATTGGTACATGTATTAAATGGGATTATAAGTGCCAATAACCATGAAATATTTTTATATTAAAAACAAAAATAAATATTATAATCAAAAAAAATATCACATCTAGATTTATTTTTGGTTATTTTTAGGTAACAAAAACTTCCGCTATATCATGCTCGAAATTTGAACTTGATATGCAGTTAGAAAGAGTAATTAGAACGCTGGCATAGTCGAATTTCCCATCTTGGCCAATGATAATTGAAAAGCAACATTCTCCTGAAATCGAGAATGAGAAAATGTTTTCAAGCTCTTGTGTTGATGATAATTCTGTGTTTAAACTAGTTGTGGATCCGCTTGTTTCAATGAAACTGTGTATTATATGAAATTTATAAGGACTATTCGAAGAAAATGTGTTTTTTGCTGAATTGTTTTTAATGATGCATTCTTTTATAGTTAAATCATGATTAACTGTATAAAATAATTGATCTGATACTGAATTATTCAAAAAATTGGTATTGATATATGAAAACGATTCATATCCAGTATAATGAGAGCAATTTTTAGATGTTGCTGAATTGTTTGTGAATGATGATTGTGAAATATTTCCTGGAAAACGTGGTAATTCAATTAAAATTCCGCAATATTGGTTAGTTCTACAATTTGATAAGTTTGTATTATGAATTATAACTTCTCCTCTTACATGATTAATTGGTGAATTTCCAACTCCTGTTTGACCTAAATCGGAATATGAAGAAAGATAGTTATAATTTTTGAATGGATCAGCGTATGAATCAATCCATATATAGCAATGTTGTCCAAAACCACTTGAAGAACAGTTATAAGAACATATTCTGTTTTGAACAAAATCTACTTTGGAATAAATAAAGAGATTTCCACCATATCCATCATAATAATTAGAAGTTTCGGAATAACCTATATAATTTGAATGGAAAATTGATGATTCGATAAGTATTTTAATATTTGACACATCTGAATTAGAAAAATCGATGAATCTCGAATTTTTTGTAGATGTTGTTTCAACAATGTAATAACTGTGGGAGCTTGAAAAGCTTTCTGAATAGTAACTATCGTTTTGTCCGGAATAAAATTCATCCCAACTTAGATCGAATTTCAAAATCCTCAAATTTTTCGTCTGTAACTAAATTTATGCATGTACTAAGTGTTGTATAGTTATAAATAGATTTTGGTGCAAATTCTTGGATCCTAAAACGCATTTTTCCGATTTGAGAACAAATTATGGGTTTATAAGCAACTTTAAGCATGACTACGATCAGTATTATTGTGTTTAGTTAAGTTGGGGATATCTGATTTATATAAAATGATTTTTTGTCGAATGAAAAAAAAATTGATTCTTCATGATGTGAATTTGAAATAAAAAAAATGACAAAATTTCATTAAGGGACCGCTGAAACGATAAGTAAATTATATGTCACTTTTAATCATTTTTATCAAATACAGCATATAATATTAAAAAGTACATTTATTAAAATGGACGATAATGATTATTTTTAAAAGTCTTCAAAAATTGAATACCCTCTATTGTTGCAGCAGACCCATAATATTTCATTGGGAATATCTGATGCTTCAATAAAAACTAATGTGAACATCGAAGTGAAATTTCTCCAGATGATGATCTACAAATGACTGATGTTTTATGATCTTTACAAAAATGTGCTTTGTAAAGTTTGTAAAGTGTCAAAATTTGATGTATTTGACATTGTAAATTATAAAATCGGGAGAAAAAAGATGTAATATGGACTCAGTCCAGCTCTAGAAGATATTTGGAACTCTAGACAAATAGAATAGGGTTCAAAATATCTCGCAGAACTGGATTGAGTCCAAATTAAACTTTAAAACCTGTTCTTTTGAGAACAGGCTTTAATTAATCGAGAGTGAGGGGCTCCGTTACTCCCATTCTTGACGAATGGGAGTTCTGGAGTTCCTCAAGCAAAGGAAGATAGCTTTGATTAAATCAGCAGAGGCCAAAATTGGAAAGGACCGCTGCTGATAAGGCTTCTGGAGCTCTAGAGCTTCCTTTCGTTGAGATTTGGTCAAAATGGCAGCACAATTTTGTTACTCTCCCTGTACAAATGATGACTATAGGTAGATTCTATCGAATTACACCAAAGTACCTTATCATGTTAATAATTAAAAGCAAATTGTTAATAATTGGATGCAAAATTCATCAAATAATTAATTGTACCTATCAAAATGTATTAGTAAGTCATTCCATATGGAGAGAAAGGTAAACGTATGGTTATTCATATAGATCCTTTTTTTCCCCAAATACTTATTTTGTCAATTTTTTGAAATGAGAACGACGTTTTATTTGTCTCAGGTCAGAGGAAAAGGATCTAGAATAAGAAATGATATTTCCCAAGACATTGATGATGAAGATGATCTATTTTCACATAGAAAATCTCCTAAAATCGATCCTGAAACAAAACAGCAGAGATCCGTTATCTTAAAATGGTTAAAACAATTAAGTATCTCAAATCCATCTATTGCTGATGGTATCGAAGACTCTATTGTCAATTGGTTTTTGCAGTCAGGATCATTACTTCCAAAAGCTTTACATTTAAAAATCGAGAAAAAAACTACAGATTTAGTGTCAATGATTAGAACTCTAAATGAAAATGATGTCTTGACCGATGATACATTAAACTTCATGACAAACTCAGTTGAAACTGCTCCTCCAGAAGAATTAGTTTGGAGTATTCTCAATGATGCGTATAATTATGCTTTGAAAAAACAATCATCTGTTATACCTCTTACCAAAACTATTGGAGAAAATCCTCCAATTATTCTACAAAGAAATGTACTTAATAGAATATTGAAATCATTAGGATTACAAAGATTACCGAATGTTTTTGGCGATCCTAAAGATATAATTGACGATGATTTTCGAAATGGAAACTTCTTTTTTGCATTATACGAAAAATTAACTGGCGAAAAGGTTCAACCGGTTTCAACAGCAGTCTCACAGAAAAAAGCAATTAACAATACTCAAATGGTTCTTGTTCTTCTTGAATCAAAGAAATTTATTGATTCATCTTTTATTAATTGCGCTCCTCAGATTGTTTCGGGTGATCAATTTGTATTTCAACAATTATTATCAATGATATTCTATAACTGTTCAAAGATAAAAGGTCCAATCACCATAAAATTTGTTTCTCAAACTCAGACTACTTCTTATACAACAGAAAATCCAATTCCAAAATCTTATATAGAAGGATCAAATCTACAAGATGGCGTTACTTTGCCAAAATTACTCACGTCAATTGATCCGATTTATTCAAAGCTTCCATATTTACTCCTTAGTCCTCAGAATGATATTGAAAAGAAATGGAATATAAGAAAAACTATCGAATACCTTCAGAGGAAACCTGCCTGGCCAACTACAGAAAAAATTGACATAAATGATCTGATAGATGGCGAAGAATTGACAGTTCAAGCTCTATATAACGGTATTCTTGCCTGCTATCCACATAAATTCGCATCTGAAAAAGCTTGCAAATCTCTTCGTTTTATTTTAGGTTTAAATCCTGAACAATCAAATTATTAGCACTGTTGTGAGAGAATATGAGAAAATTCTGTTATATTAATGGAATTTTATTCATAATTTCTCATTTATTATTCGAATATATTTTATTCTTATTCATAGTTTATATTTTGTTATTATATATTGTTAGTAAACGTTTTTTCCTTTAGAAAACAGTATTAAACATTTTCACATTTCATTTGAATAAAATGCCAAAAAAAGAACTAAAACTTATACGAAAATAATTGTCATGGTCATGTAAGAATGGAGTTTTTTATTATAAATATAGTAAATATAGATAGTATAATGATTTTCTAAGATAAAAAACACTTTTATGCAAGAGCAGCAACCTTTTCTCTTTTTGGCTTCTCTTCCTCTTGTTCTTCTTGTTCTGGTTCCTGTTCACCTGTTTCTTCTTCTGCACCGCCTTCCATTTCTGCCAACATTCTTTCGTATTCCTCTTCGGCTTCGGCATCGAGGTCTGGAGTCATGCTCTGGCCAAGCAATTCTGTAACTTCGTTGACCTTTTCTGTTTGTTCCTGGTTTTCTTCCATTAATTGTTCAACCATTTCGACAGTAAGTTGTTCGTTCATTGTCTTAAGGACAGAGTTAGTCATTTCTAAGTTCTGAGCGAACTCCTTAGTAATTCTTGCAGTTTCGAGGTTATTAAGCTGTTCTTGAAGATTTGATAACATTCCATCAGTTTTGGCAATCATTGCCTCGCGAGCCTTCTTTGCTCTCATGACGAGCTTAGCACGATCCATTTTACCTTCTTTAGCAAGCTTCTTAGCAATTTCTAATTGTTTTTCGTTATCTGCTTCTAAACGGCTCTGATACTTCTTAAGACGATCACGGTTAACTTTAAGTGAAAGAACTGCCTTATCGTACTCCTCTTCTTGCTTCTGTGCTTGGGATTGTTCTCCTTCTTTCGAACCTCCGCAACCCATTTTTGAATGAAAAGTGTCAACGGTCGAAATTGAATACTTTTATTAGAAATCGATTGCTTTATTAGGCTTATAGTATCCAAAATGTGAGTTGCAAATTTCTTCAAAAATTTTATCTAAGGTTTGTGAAAATCAATGAAAATAGGTTTTTCAGACACATTGATTGCCTTAGCTACAAGATGGGTAACATTTAGATTCAATTGAGTTGGTCTCGAAAAGTTAAACCTCAATTAATTATAGAATTTTCGATCATTATCAACAATGTTTTCAATAAACTTATGTAATATTCCTATATTTATACCAAGCTTGAGCTAGGCTTTCATACATTTAGGAGCTAGTTACAGAGGGAGCTATTTTGGGGATGTAAAAAAATATTACGCCTGTAAATTGTTCGTTTTTTCAAATGTCGCGCGCAATCGATATTAGATCTTCGATTGAAGATGCGAGAGAGACAAAAAAGCTCCCAGCACTTCAGCGCAGGTGTACTACCGGTGTATCAAAGAAATCCACGACACTCGATGTAAATCAAATGAAAATGCAAATTGCAAGCATGGAGCTTCAGATTCGTCAGTACAAATCCAAAACTGTAAGATTAAATCAGAAAATTAGTGATAGCAAGACAGCCGTTAAAAGAGCTCTTGACAAAAATAATGAATCAAATCAAGTCGTTGTTGCTTCATCATCTACAATCGCACAAATAAAAGAAAACATTTCATCATTAGAAAATGCTTTGGATAAAGCAAATTCAGAATACAACACTCTGAGAATGAATGATGCTTTCTACGTTTCACAAGAACTTCAAGAGGAGCTGAAGGCATACTATTTAGAAACCCAAAGATTACATAATATCAAAGATAATACAAATAGAAAAGTCAAAATAGTAAATAACGAATTTGAAGTTATTAAGCAGCAGATCGAAAGTTTCCCTTACACACAACGCGAGGTCAATTCCGTTCAAGATAATATCGATGATCTGATCTCTAAAATTGATGCTTACACTAAATCTGAAACAAAATACAACGTTATCGAAATACAGAAGCAGTTAGATGTACCAAATAATAATGCCAAGGAGATTGAGCAGAAATCTAAACTTATTGAGCAGAAACTCAAAGAGCAAGTTGACAAATTAAAACAAGATATCGAAAAAGAGCAGGAGCGATTGAAGAATATCGAGAAGAATGACCAAAGAAATATGTGCGAACTTCAGCAGATCGTTGAAGATCAAGTCGGACAAATTCAAGCTGCTCTTGAAATTATCGAAAGTCAAGAGAACGAAGAAGAGGAAGAATCAGAGCAAGAAAAGCCACAAGAAGAATCAAAGCCTGCTGACCCTCAAGACGATGAAAAAATTGAAACATTTTAATTTTATTTTGTTTTATTTATCTAAAGAATCTGTTATTTACACACATAACTACCTATTATGATAATCATTTTCATTTTTAAAATAATCCAAATTTTTATGGCTTTGATTTAAATCAAACTTTCTGACAATTGGCGTGAAGCAACATTGAAAATTGGCATTAAAGGCCAAAATTGCGGTTCATGGTATATGGGAGTACGTGCACGCTTAACCGACAAAATCGCAATGGGTAGCTATAAAAATTTGTCTTTGTCAAGCATTTTACCATCGTTGTAATTTACATCTTCAAGTTTGCAAACATAGATCAATTCATTGTGAGTTTTGGAATATTTCTTTGGGAGCATTCCTAATGAAATTTTGAATTCACGAAACCTTGATTTTTTTTTCAATAAAATTTTGTATCGAATAACCTTTTCGTTGTAGTGAGATTTATTAAAATAAGCTGATTTGCATATTTCAGAGAACAATCATCCTATCGGTTTTGACATTAAAATTTCATGCAACTACCATACGTGATCACGTTAATTATTAATTTTTTTAAGGCAATAGTCACTTACATCCTATCTCAGTCAAAGAATTGCAAAGGTAATGAAGATGAGCTAGTAAATCACGAAGTTAAGCAAAAGTATTCATATCCAACGAAGTTTCCAAATTGGGCAGAACCAGTAACAGAACTATTTATTGGAAGAACCATAAACTCCATAAAATTTAATCGAAATATCAAACTATTTCGATTTCGTCGATCTCAATATCCCGATAATATCGGAACACGACAGCATCCCAATGGTCCGTTTATGCTCAAAGGCCGCAACTTGTTTATGTTCAAAAATATTCTTTATCTCAACAAATTTGTTAAGCTGAATGATGATGAAATTAAACTTTTGGGAAAGTATGCAATCAAAGACGTCATTGATACTTTGAATGTGGGTAATTATACGGTTTGGTGTAACGTTCTCAATTGTAGGGGATTTCTTGTAGGTGGAGTTATATACAGATATGCCAAACTTGTAGGTGCAGAAGAAGAAGTAATTGAAGAGATCAAAACATTTGCAAAATGCTTCAGAATGTATGATGATTTTGTTATAAATCCATATGACAATTACCTAGTTTTCAATTATTCAGATGGTACGCAAAGAAAAATTCTTAATGATCCAGATATGCCTCCATTGGAAATTGTCTATGATGATCCTGTTTTTGAATAAAATTTGTTTTTTTTTCAATTAAGAAATTAAAACGATCTGAGTGTTTCCCTTTTGAGTCTATATGGAAAAGGGATATTTAACGTACTACCTGACGATATTGGAGATCAAATTAAACAATGGCAATTCTTGCATTCGTGAACTTAGATTAATTTACTATAATGAGGGATAATTTGATTAAATATTGATAAGATTCAGCTAGTTTTAGGGGAGACGTAGAGCTTAAGTTTTTTTGCAATTTTCAACTATTTGAAGTGGGAATGAAATGCCTTTTGATAAATGTTAAGGCATTGTACCTCATATCTATGGTTTAATCATTTGCAATTCACCAAAAATTTCAGTATTTTCTAAGAGGGACTAGGATATACGAATTACTGATTCTACAGTATATTATTCCTTTAAATTTCATGAAAATTTGATGAGAGGCTTCGGAAAAACTATATCATATTCGACTAATTACACAATCCCTGGCTCTTTGAAAACCAAGACAATAATTGAGTAGTTTAAGACAAGGTACTTCCGAGATATACAGTTGGAATGAGATATCTCCGAAGAACCTTGCCTTGCTCGAGTAGTTATAGAATATTTGGCACTATGAAAACCATAGGATGGTAGTATAATCACAGGAGGGCAATAACATAATATCAATGCAGCCTAGATACTATATGATTGCAGCTAAGCTGCATTGATATTGTGCTTCTCGCTTGCAGAACTCTCATGGAAGACCAAGTGATCTCTGATGCCTGAATCACTTGCTGATGTAGACTTAGCAGCACTTTGGTTGGATCCAGAAAGAAGATCGTCGAAATCCAGCCTTGAAATATATATTAATTTTACTAAATATATGCATTATATTATAGGATAATGGACTTTTTGCAATAGTCTCTATTAAACATGTAAATATATATATACATTCCTTCAAAGTTCTTTCAATTACATTGAAAGAGAGGAAAATTCATGAAGAAAGACTTAGCAAACATAAAGGATCTGAATATGAAAACCATGAAGTTAAAGAAAATTCTTGCAATGTTATAACATTATCTCGAAATTCTTGAGACATTCAATAATATAAATCAAGACTAAATGTGATTGTATTCAAATATAAGGAATATTCGATGAGTATTGTTAAACAAGTTGTATTTGAACAATGTTTACTTCTGCTAGACAAAGCTGTTCAAAAATTTTTTTCTTTTTTTTCTCGATGTCAGAAAAGCCGATGCCTCAGGACTATATCCGTCTCTCCATGGAGAAACGCGTTAAGGTAAAAGTCCAGGAAGGTCAAGAACTCGAAGGAGTCCTTCATGCTTACGACGAGCATTATAATATCATTCTTGGCGATGTTTTAGAAAGTATAATGGGTCTTGATAAAAATGGAAAGTTTATTCCAGTTAGGCAAAATCAGATAGATATGCTTTTTGTTCGTGGAGATAGAATTGTTTCAATTGCAACAATTTGAACTTTACTTGATAAATTTATTCAATAATTACCCATGAAAATAATTGATAATGTTATCTACATCAATAATAAGATTATTCGTATGCATTTTTTACCGCAATGATGATAAAAATCCGTGTTGCTGCACACTGATGATACCATCATCTGAGCGAAATCATTAAAAAGAAAACTAACACACAGAGTCATAGATTTTAGTTTCACAATAATAAAATGCAAATTATATGTTCTTTAAAGGACAGGATCCTCGGTTTAACGAAGCTTTCATGTAAAATTGTTTATGTAATAAAAAATCATACATACTTTTCAAAATTTTTACATTTTTTTCTTCGAATATTTTCCTTTTTTTTACATACTGACTCTTTTAAGATATATTTATCAATATTTTGTATTGTTATGCTTGTGTATGCCATTGGAACAATAATACATTTAGCTTCTGATAAATTATCGAAATGTTTCACAATTGATGGTGTTATTGATCAAATTGACTATTTCTCTTTTTACACAGATAATAGAGTTATAAATATTCTCTGAAAATATTATTTTTCTGCATCAAACTCTGTTGAAGATGGTTAATATAGGAAAAATGGATTTTATACGCATATATTTTTACCAAACAAACAAACAAGTAGCATATCAGTTATATTCTGATGTCTAATCTGCGATTTGTATCCGAAGATTGAGTAATTGAGATTTGAGGACCAGAAGGGTGTTGCTTTTTAGGAAGAGAAACATCGATTTGTATATCCTTTTGATGCACTGCAACTTTTGGAGTGTTGTAACGATGTTGATTATAATATTGCTGTTTATCGCCAACATGAGCAGCAATTGGCGCTCTTGATGGTTGCTGTACTTTAATGTCCCCTCCTGTATTTGTTTTCACGATGACACCGTTTTTCTTTATTAAATTAACTGTTATTGGATTTCCATCAACGCGGAAACCAGAAAGTTCAATAGAAGCTTTCTGAGCTGTTTTGTTATCTCTGTATTGAACGAATGCGAATCCTAATGATCCCCAATCTGTTCTTGGAATTTGAACAGAGATAACTTCACCAACTCTGGAAAAGAACTTATGAACTTCGGATATATCAGCAGATTGTCCCAATCCTCGTACTATAACAACACCAATTCCATCAGCTACAATTCGTCGAGTTGTATCATCATATTTTATAATTCGTATAGGGATGTTATTAAATTTACTATAGTTTAAACGAGCTATGATTAAATTTGCACTATTTTCTGATTCTACTAATACAAATCCAATTGTTCCTTCAACACGACATTCTAAAACAGTTCCTGCTTGATTTAAATAGGAACCTAGATAGTTTGGATCAATACCGATTGGTAAATCACGTACAATTAAAAGAAACCCTTGAGTAAACTTCCTTGAATTCATTGATCTGATTTATAATATTTTGTGAAAAAAACGATTATCGAAGATAATAGTTAGAACTTCTAAAAGTTCAATCCAATGGAATAATATATTTCATCACTAGTTCTAAAATCAGAATAATAAAGAATTGATGATTTTAATATCATATTCTTGTATTTAAAACGAAATTCAATGGATATTTGAGTGTGGTACAAACTATCCAGTGTCACTTTTATTAATCTTATTTTAAAAAATTAATAAAATAATAATAAAAAATTATTTGAATCTTTTACATTAATTGTTTCTTTTTTAAAAGTACCTTTAAAGTACAATAAACAATGTTGTAAACAGAAATTCATCAAAAGTGACACCTCAGAAAAGCTAAAATATTGAATTTTTGGAACTTTTGATAGAGCACGTTTTTAAATATTAATTAAAGTAAATGTATATTTTGTAAAGATTCTTTTTAATAAAAAAATAAAATTTTGAAGAAGAACACAAAATCTTCTGAAAAATAATATCACATAAACTAAAAAAAAAAAGAAAAAAAAAAAAAAGGTAGTGGGGCTTCCAGGCACTTCGTGCCCTCTAGCCCCGAAGATGTTTAGTATAAATGAAGTTTTTATTCGGAAAATTGTTAGTCTTCTGGTGTGAATTCGGAGGACTCTTCTTCTTCCTCCATTGCTTTTGGGAAGAAGCCTTCTTCTGGGTCGAAAACATTATATAATGTGTCGCTTTTCACAAATTATATATGTTTTCATGTTTTGTCACTTTTCTGTCACTTTTCAGGGAAAAACATTTTTATTATTATATATAAATGAATTTTACAAAACCACCGTTACTGTTCTTTGGAAATAAGAGTAGATGTAAAGATATTATATTGAGAGAACTTAAGAAACTACCGAATGGTCTAACATTTGTAGATTTGTTCGGTGGAAGTTTCTATATATCCCATTTGTGCCATATAATATTCCCAGACTCAAAGATTATATGCAATGACTTCGACAACTATATGGACCGTCTCAAACATATACCAGACACAAACAAAATATTGAGTGAGTTAAAAGAAAAGATACCTATAGGTAAGATGGAACGTATACCATTAGATAACAAAAATATTGTGAGAGAGGTTTTGAAAAAAGCAGAATATATAGACTGGGATAGTATATCTGCTAGACTATTATATAGTGGTTCTATAAGAGTTCATGACATTGAAACACTTATGTCAAAAGTTTTATATCTTAACTATACAAATGTTTTCAAAGAGGACATAGAAAAAATATATTGAGGGTATAGAGTTTGTGAGATGTCATTGGACAGATTTGTATGAAAAATATAAAGACAAGGAAAATGTTTTCTTTATAGTGGACCCGCCGTTCTATAACACATGGGATTTTCAATACCAAGTAGACTGGACTTTGAGAGACTCTTTAGAAACTTTAGACGTTTTACATAACCATCCATGCTTTTACTTTACATCCGATAAAAGTGGTTTGGAAACCGTTATGAGATGGTTAGAGGACATACATGACTATGAGTTTATATATGACAAGATAGAATATGAGAGAGGTCCTATAAACTGGAGAAAGTGTCATAACAAAGAAATTTTATTAGTAAGTAAATGTGGTTTGAAATAGGACTACTTGTTTTAGGTTTTTTCCATTGTGTCATTTATTTATTTGACGTGGCAGAAAAGTACAGAGAATATGAAGATGAACCAATGCCTGCAAATGTTCAGCATATGTACTCGTAAGAGATATTTTTATCTAATATTAAATGGACGCACAGAACTTAGCGAATGCACAGCAACCTGGACAACCAAACCCAGAGAATATTCCAAATGAAGTTAGAATACAAACTGCAATGGCAAACTATGGTCAAGTGCCAACAGATGTACAAATGCAAACTGCCATGTCAAATGACGCTGCGTTAGGTTTGCCACCATGGTATGCAAATATGAGATGGAAAGAGTTTTATACAAACCCTGAAGTGGGATATAAACAACTTTATGCAGATGACGCGAACACAGGAGTTGACCCAGAATATGTTTTCTACCAGAGGAGAAACAGAATGTATGAGCTCCAGTTAAAGAATGCTATGGAACTCAACAGGAAACGTAAGAGACTAGGCGGACATTAGATTTTTACATATAGTAAAATGGGTTTCTTCAGTAGTATTGGAAACTTCTTTCGAAATGTTGGAAGAGGTATATGGAATGGAATAAAAACCGTAGGAAGAGGAATTTGGAACGGAGTCAAAAATATTGGTAAAAGAGTAGGTCAGTTCGTTGGTATTATACCTAAAGACCCTGAACCAGAAGAACAAGCTCCTGTTATACAACAGCCTGAACCTGCACCACAGTCTAGTTGGCAACCAAATCCAACACCTCAACCGTATTAAAAAATTATATTTTTACCGTTCGATAGTAGTTGTATATGAAACTAAGTTCTAAGTAAAACGCATGGTATAATGGAATTATTCTTTTTCTTCCATCTGTAGTAAACCATACTTGAAAGTCTGAAATACTTCCACTTGGTGGTTCGTATAACTTTGTAGGTTTTTCGTAAAAGTCATTTGCCAAGCATAAGAAAGAGTTTTGGGCGCCAGAAAATGAAGCATGAACAATAATAGCAGCTGGGTCGAAAACATCTTTAAATAAATATGGTTCATCTCTTGCATATCGACTGTAAATATTTGCTAAAGGAAGTTCGACTTTCTGATTTAACATTCTTTGCAAATAATACCATGACATTGCAGTGAATTCTGTATATATTGTTGTTCGTCTTTATTTGGATTGTTTTCGTAGATTTGAAATGACACTTGTGAATTTTGTTTGTCATATACAATTCTCACATAAAGTGTGCTCTCGGTATTTGCATATTCATCAGCATATTTTGCATAACATGAATTTATTTTATCTTCTATATTTTTTAACGCAGTCTGTAGAGAAGATGAAAGGTCAACTTGTATTAGCTCAATTTCTTCCCACATTTTTCGTTTCCCTTCAGATATATAATCTATATGAAACCTTACAATAAATGGAAAACTTTTATCTTCTACAGACACAAACTTCATTCTACGAAAGCCAATAGCTTTTGTGACAGATGGGTCTCTTAGCCATCTTAATGGGTAGTCAAAACGATAGCCTTCATGCTTTACGGTCTCTGTCTCAAACTTTTGACCGACATTAGTAAAAAGTTCATCTAATGGTTTAGTTGTAGCAACTCTTGAATTTTCTTTTTCTATTGGAAGCATATTTTATCTAGAATAAAAATGTCGAAAGATATTGCTTCCATGAGAGAAATACAACACAACCGACAACTCATTATGCAAGCTCTAAATAAGAACACAACAAACTTTTCAAACTATTCTAAGATATCTGAGTCATTGAAAGAAGGAAACTTAAAACTGACATTAAACCCAATGACAGATGAGTTTCTATTTCAAGACAAGAAGAACAATACTGTCTGTATAAATCCAACAAAAGGAACTTTAAACGAGAAACCTATAAATGAACTTCTTTTGAAAGCAGATGTTGACAACAAAGCTGACAAAGAATATGTAGACGATGCAATAGCAAAAGAAGAAGAAAGAGCTAACAATGCTTATGCAACAAAAGAACATACTCATCCTGAACTAGCAGACAAAACATATGTTGACAATAAAATGTCAAGTGAAGTGACAAGAGCTGAAAACGAATATTCTAAAAAGACTCATACACATTCTATATCTGAAATAACAGACTTAAACGTTAGCCTTGAAAAGAAAGCAGATAAGGAATATGTGGCTAGTAAGTTAGTGAAGAAGGCGGATAAGGAATATGTGGATGAAAAAGATAAAGAAATTATAGAAAGGGTTGACTGGTACCATGAATGGACATCGAAGACTTTTAAAGTTAAAGCCGATACAGGATGGGTTTCAGGATGTTTAGACCTTAAAGCAGATAAAACTTATGTTAACGATGAGTTAGAGAAGAAAGCAAATAAGAACCATACACATACAAGTTTTACAACTGTTGCTATAGAAAGTATTGAAGGAACGGTTGAAGAAACTGGTGGGGATGCAATATATTGTAAACCTCCTAACTTTCCACAAGGTTTAACATCGGATGACGACATAACGACGATGAGAAACATTAGATGTAAAGATGTTTATGTCATGAAGGATGAATATAATACTAAATTCACTGCTCAAGATTTATATGACAAGAAAGCAGACAAAACAGAGCTTCAAACATTAAAGACAGAAATACTTCAAACATTATATCCTATAGGCTCTATTTATACGTCAATGAACTCTACCAGACCAGAAACAGTTCTGGGTTTTGGAACTTGGACTCAAATAGTTGACAGGTTTTTGTATTGTGCAAACTCTTCAAAGGAAACAGGAGGAAGTAAAACGATTTCAGGTGAAAATTTACCTGCGCACAGTCACTACATAGATTTAAGTACATCTCAAGCAGGTTGGCATAAGCATAAATTTTGGGATTGGTCAGCAATGAAAAAAGGTAAAGGATATGATGTTAAAGACGACGTTCAGTTTGCTATAAATTGTTTCTGGGGTGACACTCAGGGAGATGGAAACCATACACATCGCGTTTCGGGATATACGCAAACAACGGGACAAAGTAAAGACTACATGCCACCTTACATGACAGTTTACGCATGGTATAGAATTGCTTAGTCGTCATTTTCAACTTCTTTAGCATATTCGTCAGGAGTTGTCTTATATTTGTTAGGAACTGTCTTTGAAAGTATACCACCTTGAACTTTGACAAGTTTGAAACGAGGTCTGACAATAGTAGTTTTATCTTCTGCTTGCAGTCTGTACATTTTGCCATGTTTGCCTAAAACTTCATAATATTCTCTTGTATACTTTCTTCTATTTTTACGAACACGAATGTGAGTACCTGTCGGGTTCCCATTGTTGTCATAGTCAATAGTATTTTCATATGGGTCGCGTTTAGGTATTTCTATTTTTACTTTGTCGCCTTTCTTAAGTTTGAAGCCCGGCATTCTTTCTTG